CCCGTCAGATCTGCAGCATTAGGAGCTCAGACACCCCTGGGAACCCAGCGTGGCAGAGACCCAGGGTGCACACACCGTTCAGTCATCCCTAGCGGCCGGCGCCCCAATCCCTGGTCCGTGGAAAGTTGTCTCCCACAAAACCAGCCCCTGGGGCCCAAAAGGTTGGGGACCACTGATTCCAATGTCTTCCAAGGGGACACAGGAAGGAACAAACACCGCCCAACCTTGCTAGGCTGGAGGAACGTGCACGGTGTAGAAGGGCCTGGGAGCCAGAGGGACCGGAATTCAAATCGTGGTTCAGGTTGAGGTTCAAGGTCAGCATCACCACGAGAGTCTTCCTCGTGCATCACCCTGTGGTGGAAGAAGGAAGGGCCAAAGAGGGAGAGGAGAAAGGGCTGGCCGCCCCACTTCTATGACGAACGCACTTCCATGGTGACTGGTTCCTTCCACCCTTACAATGTTGTCACCCTCGTTAGCTCTCTATTGCCCTTAAGAAAAGCCAGAGCATTGAGCACTGTGCCCCTCAAGCACCCCTCATGTGTTCCCACGACTCAAGCCCAGGCAAAGGGACACTGAGCAGGCGAGGACCAGGATGTGTAGACAAATGTTGGAGGGATGCTGGGAACTGGGAAAATCAGTGCTACCTGTAGGAGCTGCTGTCTCACCTTTTTCGCTGCTGAGACACAACACCTGATACCCACAGCTTGAAGGAGCAGAGTTTTACTTGGGCTCATGGTTCAGTCCATGGTCAGCCAGCTCCAAGGCAGGACATCATGGCAGAGGAGAAGCCGCTCACAGCGAGTCAGCTTTGGCACCTCACAATTCAGTCACCTTCCCAGCAGACGGGGCTTGGGGAGCCATTCTTGATCTGAACCTTAACATCCCACACCTGGCCCTCAAAAGACTCACAGGTATCTCTTTTTGCAAAACGCACTTAGTCCACGTCTAAGAGTCGCCAAAGTCTTAACAGTCCCAGCACTGCTCAGAAGTCCGGCTCCAGCCGCCTCTGAGACCCAAGGCAAACTCTTCCTGGGGCCCTCTGTGAAAATCACGAGAAAGTTAAACACTGCCGATGCACAATGGCACAGGGGAAACAGTCCCACTCTGAAAGGGAGGAACAGGTAGAGGGGAACGCGACCAAACAAGACCAAAACCGAGCAGGCCAGACATTAAATCCCACAGCTCTACGTCCAGCACCTGGGCCAGGCTGTGGCGAGATCCGAACCCGGCGAGCTCCTCATCCTGGAGCAGCTGCCTTCCTGTCTGAACGCAGTCAGCTGCTCCTGACCACACAGTGGGACAGTGAGCTGGTGACTCCACTGCACGGGAGTTGGAGTTGAACAGAAACTCAGTAGCGGTAGCTGGGTGCTCGACAGAGCCCCATGGAGAGCCACGGCCACTGCTGCTCCTGGGCACCTCGGGTCCTCTCTGGTGACTTCTGTCACCTGCTGCCCGCAGACCTCCTGCCACCTTCCCGTCCAGCGTGCCACCCCCGGAAGGCACTGGCTAGTCCAGTGGCACAGGACATTCTGTGCACCTCCTGGTGACTGTCATGTCCCGTGGCCACCACGGGGCCCACCTGTTGATGCTAGCGAGTCACAGTTGGCCCCATCCTTTCCCACTAATATCTTTGTTTGTTTTTTGGTACCGAGGGGTCGAACTCGGGACCTTGTGCTTGCAAGGCAGGTGATGGAACCACTGAGCTAAATCCTCAGCCCTCCCACTAATATCTTAATGACCCTCCTCCCCCAGGCACCTCTGGATGTCTCCCCCGTCTCAGCAACCTGCCCCACTGCCCCAGGCCGGCTGGGCTCTGGGCATCCCAGGCCCCATCTCCCAGTGCGGTTGGTCACACGGGGCATCTCCAGGCCGTAACGGGGAGCCTGCGTACTTCTCCAGTCCCATGGCACTGCTGTGTCTGTAAGCTGGCCACGCCGCACCCCTCCTGTCCCCAGTCCAACTTCTTCTGGTTTCCATTACAGTAAACCGCAGTCCAAAATATTAAGTGGAAAGTTCCAGAAATAAATAATATGTAAGCCTGCAGCTGTGTGGTATTCCAAGTAGCACACGGAAACCTCCCGCCGGCCTGCCCGTCCCAGCTGGGGCTTGAACCTCCTCTGTCCCTCGTCCCTGTCTCTCAGGAGCCCTGTGGGCTTTGGCCTGCCGGGGTCACAGCACTGTGACCCCATGCCCTGCCCACGACCCTGACACTGTCCCTCGGCTGCTGTGGCCCTGCTGCCCCTACCACAGACACTGTGCTGCCTCGTGTCCCGAGAAGCAGGCTGAGTAGAGCATGGGAAGGTTTCCTTTTTTGCTGAATGGGAGATGGAGCCCAGGCCCTTCCTACTCCACTGCACCACCTGCCCTCTTATTTTTCATTTGAGACAAGGCCTGGCTCAGTCACTAAGTTGCACAGGCTGGGCTCAGATTTTCGATCCCATTAAGTCCGCCTCCCAGAGTGCTGGGGTCACAGGCATGTGCCACCAGGTCATTCTTAATCAAGCCATAAGCCGGGCGTGGTGGCACATGCCTGTGATCCCAGCACTTAGGAGGCTGAGGCAGGAGGATCGCACGAGTTCAATCACAGTGAGACCCTGTCTGACAAAATCAAAGTAAATAAATACATAAGGCAGCAAGAGGCTGCAGAGGGTTCCAAATCCCCTAGAAGCAGACAGACTCGGGTTCGAATCCTGCCTTTGCCACAGCCCAACTGAGCGACCTGGGGCGCCACTTCAGCTCCTGGGCCCTGCATGTGCGTAAGCTGGGGTTCTGCGGGGAGCGCACAGGTCCCCAGTGCCCAGCAGGATCCGTGGCGTGTCCTCTCCTCAGCCCCTCAGGGTTAACCCGAGCCTCTGCCGACCTCCACCAGCACCCCCACCAGCTTTGCTCGTTCACCTTATTTCTTTCTTCATTCATTCATCTTTCTTCGCTTGCTTGCTTGAGGTACTAGGGATGGAACCCAGGGCCTTCGCACTGAGCTGCACCCCCAGCCCTTTTCTTTTTTATTTTTTAAAACGAGGTCTCACTAAGTTGCTAAGTTGCCTAGGCTGGCCCTTGAGCCTCTGACCCTCCTGCCTCGACCTCCCCAGTGCTAGATGCACCCCACGGGCGCCCTCCGCGCCCGGGCTTCCTTCCTCCGCACCGGAACCAACCCCGAGCCGCCAGCCAGCCGCGGGAGGGGCCAGGGCGTGCACTCTGCTGCCCCCGGAGGCCGGCAGCGCCACCGCACCCGCCCGGGACTCCGCCCTGCGGGGGCCCGCCCTCTCACTTTCCCTCCACCTGGGCTCGGCTGGCCTCCCGAGCGAATGCCTCACCCTTCAGTGTTTTTCTTTTTTCAGACCTGGAATGGAACCCAGGGCCTTCGCACTGAGCAGCACCCCCAGCCCTTTTTATTTTTTATTTTGAGTCAGGGTCTCACTGCGTCACTAAGTTCCCCAGGCTGGGCTCAGACTAGCTATCCTCCTGCCTCAGCCTCCCAGGGAGCAAGGTTCACAGCTGTGGAGCCCCTGCTTGGCTCACCCTTGAATTCCTGCCTCAGGGGCCCCTTTTGGGGAGCCCATCTGGAGACACCCCAGTGCCCCCTGAAATTCAATCCACCCCGTCCCTGCCGCGGGCCCCATGTGACCCTCAGCCTGAGCCCTGCCGGCACCCGCGTCCTAAGCCTTCAGGGACACGGTGTGTCCCCGGTGCTCTATCCACGCCCCCGACTCTGTGTCCAGGTGGGGACAGGGCCCTGCCTCTGTTTACCCATCTGTCCCCAGGAGCCTGCTGGAGACATAAAGGCAGCTTCCAGCAGCCTCGTGCCCGGCCACATGGCCCTGACAGCTGACCGGGGTCCCCAGGGCCTGGAACTCTGGGTGACCCTCGGTGCCTGGTCAGGGGCACTGGGTTTGTCCCTCCCCAGCTGCAAGGCCGGGTCCTCAGGCAGGTCCCGTGCCAGGCCGCCCGAGTCCTGCCCGGTGGATCCATTTCAGGCGATGCCAGCCCTGATGTAGCCGTCACCTGCATCTAGGGGAGGTCAAAGTCTGGGGCAGGGGCTGGCCGAAGACTCAACCCGGGAGGCTGGGGGAGATGAGACAGCAGCGGCCTGGGCCCCGAAGCAGCTCTGCTCTGCAGCCGCTGCCCACAGACAAGCGGGGTGCCACGGACCTGTTTCCTGGTCTGTAAATCGAGAGCCCCGCGCACACCAGGCCCTGGGCCTCCTGTGACAGAGGAGGCACTGTGTACAGAGCACACATAGCCAGGCTCGGCCAAGGGAGCAGGACACCAAATCTGCCCCAGCTCCTAGGCTCCTCCAGGGCATGGCCACATCCAGTGTCCCTGAATCCTGCTCCCTGTGGCCTCCCTGCCTGTCCCCCACCCCATGGAAAGGGACAGGGGGCCCTCGCTGTGTCTAAGAATCCAGGAAGGATTCGTGGAGGAGGGGTCATCTGCTCTGGGCTTTGAAGGGTGAATAGAAGTCTCCTAGGCCGAGGTGGGGGGAGGGCCTCGTTTTATCTAATAAGCATTTCCCACTGCTGGAAGGGACTGGCAGCCACAAGCAGGAGACCCAGGCGTCTCCCCAAACAGTTCAAGACCTCGAGGAAAGAGACAGAGAGACAGACAGAGTCAGAGACAGAGACAGAGAGCAGCCCAGAGATATCGGAGGAGAGACAGACGCCAGCAGAGGGGGACCCCGGGGAAGAGCAGGCCGCGCCCGCAAGGCTGGGGCTGGCAGAGCCCGGGTCCCAGGACCCAGCGACCGTACCGGGGAGGAAGAGGCACGGCGGGGTCCCCACACCCCATAGCCTCCGCTTCCCCCAGGCTCTGCAGGGAAACCGAGGCCGCCCAGCAGGGCCCAGCCCCGCCTGCAGGCCCAGGCCTGTGTCACCCGGAAAACGAAACTGCTCGTCAGCCAGCTTCTCTCCCCTTTGGGAATCCAAGGCCCAAATAAGGTGCGGGCCGCGTTGCCGCGGGCGGGCGAGTGGCGGCCGGCCTGCTGGGCCTGCTCCAAGCCTGGCCTCGCCCGCGCCTATAAGGACCCGGGCCCCACCCGCGCCGTCCCCGCCGCCATGGAGGCTATCAAGAAGAAGATGCAGATGCTGAAGCTGGACAAGGAGGACGCCATCGACCGCGCCGAGCAGGCCGAGGCCGACAGGAAGGCCGCGGAAGACAAGCGCCTGCGGGTGAGGCTGCCGCAGGCTGCGGGCGAGATCGCGCGGCCCGTGGGGACAGGAGGGCGCTCGTGCGCGCCTGCGCCGGGCTGTGCGTGTGTGTGCGTGGGCACTTCCGCGGCCTGCGTGGTGTCTTGCGGTGGTGGCGCTGCGGGCCGGGAGGAGAAGCCGGGACCACGTGTCCCTGCGCCCGGTGTGTCCGGCGCTGACCCCGCTCCAAGCCCTCCTCGCAGGGCAGGAGGCCGCTCGTCACCCCGCCCGAGAGTGGGGACCCAGGACCCGGGCCTTGGGCACTCGGGCGCCCGCGGGGTCCGGAGATGCCCGGCCAGGGCCTGGGCGGGGCGGAGCGGAGCGAGGCGCGGCGGCAACGGGGCGACTGCGTGAGGGCGAAGGCAGCGTGACTGTGCGCGTGGTCAGCGCCCACCAAATTCGGGTTAGTTCCTGCCCCGCCCGACTTCCCCGCTCTCCCGCCCGTGTCCTGTGACACAGCAGCCAGCTCCGCCCGCCGCCCCTCCACCTTCCCGGCCCCTCCCTGGCACACGGCGCCCTCCTGCGCCAGCCCTGGGCGGCCGGCTTGACCCAGTGCTTGGCCCTCGTGGTGCAAGGCTCAGCCACAGCTCTCGTTCTCACTAAGGTGTGAGTGACTGCTGTGGCTGCAGTTCCCAGCGAACCACCAGCTCCAAAGGGAACGCCCCGAAAGCCTGCGGCCCGCTTCAGCCAGAATGGCAACAGACTCCCCGCCTCTGGCTACCGCGATCAAACTCAGGACTTTGCGCTTGCGAGGCAGCTGACGTGCCACTGAGCTACATCCCCTGCCCTGGATTTTTTTTTTTAACTACGCTGCCTGCCAGGGCAAATCCAGGCTCCGCGGTGCTTCCGGTGGCCAAGCACGAAGCCCGAGGTCCCACGGCGCCGGTGGTCAGGCCCACCCGGGACTCCATTTGCCCAGAGCCTCCGCAGCAGAGGCCACAGATAGCGGCCCTTGGGGGCCAGAGGCGGAGTCCCGTTCCCAGCCTGGTCTGTCCAGGGCGGGAGCAGAGCCCGGGCCCGGCCACTTCCTGCTCTCCCCTTCCCAGACAAAGACATCCGCCGCCCTGGCCTCTGACCCCGCGTCCTGCCTCAGCCCGCCAGGAGGGGCCATGTACAGGGACTGAAGGAACACGTGCTCCCTGATCCCCCCCCCCCCGCACTCCACAGGCAGGGAAACCGAGGCCCATATGGCACAGGAGTCAGCGCGGGCTGTCACTCCTCATACTCATACCACCAAGGCTGCTGTCACTGATTGACTCAACAAACTTCCTACAGTGGTCCCAGGCCGGGCCCGTGGGGACCTGAGCCTGGGGGGGAAGGAGGGACCAGGACTGGGAGACCCCGGGGCCCCACCCCCCATGCTCAGGAATTACTTCAGTGCACAAGGGCTCAGACCCCATCTGTATGTCCCCAGATGAGTGCTTCCCCTTTCCAGGGACTCAGTTTACCCTTCTGGAACATGAGGCTTCGGAGAGACAGTCACTGTGTGCCTGGCACATTTTACTTTTTTCTTTTAAGTTTAGTTAAGTTTATTGGTACATTTTAGGTATACATAATGATCACATTCATCCTTGGGACTTTTTCTTTTTCCTTTGCTGCACTAGGGATGGAACCCAGGGCCTTCCCACTGAGCTACATTCCCAGCCCTTTATTTTTACATCCTAGGGTCTCACTGAGTGACTTAAGTTGCCCAGACTGGGCTTGAACTTTCCATCCTCCTGCCTCAGCCTCCCGGAGTGCTGGGATGACAGGTGTGAGCTTCTTGAAGAATCAGTCAAGGCGGAAGTTCAAAAGCAGCTACGGCTGGTTCAAAGAACCCCAAGCCAAGACTTCCACCGGGCAGATGGGGACTGAGGCCAGAGGCAGGGCTCACCCAGCGGGGATCTGGAGTCGGGCCTTGGGCTCCCTGTCTCCGGGTCAGACCTGGGGGCTGGGCTGGGCCCGTCCCTTCCCCCAGCGACTGAGCCAGATCGGCGGCCTAGAGTCCCTGCAGGGCGGAGCAGGACGTAGCAGCTCCGGAGGGGGAGGGGCAGGCCAGGACCGGAAGGCCGTGGGGCAGGGCCTCGTAGGAATCTGCTCCAGGCCGGGCCTGGTGGCACATGCCGGGCAACCCAGCTACTCGGGAGGCTGAGGCAGGAGGATGGAAAATTAAAGCTCAGCTGGGCAATTTAATGAGACTGCCTCAAAGCACAATGTTAAAAAGCAAAAAGGGCAAGGGGTGGCGCTCAGTAGTGAGCACTTGCTGGGGGATCTGTTCTCCACACTGCAAAGAAAAAGCACAAGCGTTTGCACTAGCACTTGCACACACACAGCACTGGCGTATTCTGCACATGCTGTCTGGAAAGAGCAGGAAGTGTCACCATGCGACCCAGGAAGTCACCCGCTCTCCGGCCTCCGCTGTGGAGGCCGCAGGACATGGAGTCGGGGCCAAGTGGGGAGCCCCGGCCCCTGGAGCCCCAAGTCCCCTGGGTGCAGGAGCTGGACTGCGCCACCCACGTCCGTCCGGGAGTGAGGGGCCAGGTGTGGCTTCCTGCTAGGCCTCTTACCGAGGGGTTGTGATGGCCAAGGGGGCTGGCAGGGTCTGCGGTTTGTGTCCCACGGCCCTGAGCGGCTCTAACGAGGTCAAGGGCTCTCAGGATAAACACAGAGAACTGAAAATCTGGGGACATTTTAATGACAATGAACACACAGCAAAAGTGTGTAAAGGGTGGGTCCCTTCTTCACCAAGCCAAGTCCGAAGCAGGGGAGCCAGGGTCCTCTTTCTGCCTCTCAGGGACCGCCAGGAGGCTGCGCCCCAAAGGCCAGAGTCCTCGAACGTGCGGTGTTTCTGGCAGGCGCCAGAGGCCTTCCGTTTTCCAAAAGCTCTCCTGGCTTCCCCAAGAGTATCGGGGACCCCACTGCTCTGAAGCGCAGCGAGTCCCCGCACCGGGGCAGGACGCGACTCCCTGCTCGCAGTGGCATTCGTGGAGTGGCGGTGCTAGGGTCACCCCTATTTCACAGAGGGGTAAACTGAAGCCCAGAGGCGCCCGGTGCGCGCGGGAGGGGCTCCCCGGGCTGACGCACGTCCCCTCGTCCCCAGGTGGAGGAGGAGCTGACGCACCTGCAGAAGAAGCTCAGTGGGACCGAGGACGAACTGGACAAGTACGCGGAGGACCTGAAGGAGGCGCAGGAGAAGTTGGAGCTCACGGAGAAGAAAGCGTCGGACGTGAGTGCGCGGCCCGCGGGCTGCACAAGCGTTGGCCGGGTCCCACCCCCCCAGCCGGCGCTGACGTCGCAGGCCCGGTGACCTCACGGCCCGACGGCGCGGCCGGGGCGGGGCGGGGCGGGGCGGGGCGGGCGAGCGGGGACCCGGGCGCAGCCATCGCCGAGCCGCAAACTGAGCGCCCGCGCGCCATGGCCGGGCTCAACTCACTGGAGGCGGTGAAGCGCAAGATCCAGGCGCTGCAGCAGCAGGCGGACGACGCGGAGGACCGCGCGCAAGGCCTGCAGCGCGAGCTGGATGGCGAGCGCGAGCGCCGCGAGAAAGTGAGGGACCCGCACCCCGCTCCCGCGTCCCCCCTCCTGCGCGCGTCCCTCCCCGCGCCCGGGTCCCCGGGTCTCCGTCCCCATCCGGTACCCCGCGCCGCTCCCCATCCTGCGCCCCACTCGCCCCAGACCCTTCCTCCTCCTCCTCCACTGTCCCCGCCCGCGCCAGCCCGGGGGCGGGATGCGGGGCCCCGGTCGGCGAGGCCTGCGTCTGCGCGGGGTCCCGGCCTGGCGCCCATTGTCCTCGCAGATCGGTGGGCACGGCTCTGCGCGGGGCGGGGGCGTCGCTTCCCGCTTTGTCGCCTGAACTTTCGGGCCGGTCTGGGGCGCGGCGGCGACGTGTCCGCGCCGGCCGGGCGGGCGGGGGGCGGAAGTGCAGCCCTGGCCCCGCGGGACCCCGCCCTGCCTCGCCCGCGGTTGCCGGAGCCCCGTGCGCCGCCTGGGCGGGCGGGCGGCCTCGCCATCCCCTCTTCGTCCCTCTCCGTCCCCCGCCTGTCCCGCGGGGCAGCTTGGCGCTTGGCGGCTGATTCTGATCTGGCGCGTATCCGGCGCGTACGGTCCCAGCCGTGTGTGACTGGCGCGCGGTAGGTGTTGGATTCGTGCTTTTCTCCCTTCCCCAGCCCTGGAAGTTCGCGGTCTCAGAGACCAGAGGGGCGCTGACTGGGGGGTGCAGCATGATTAGCATTCCGGGGGAGTCCTGGCGGGCGTGCAAGACGCGGGCGCGGAAGTATGTGCAGAAGGGAGGCCGGGCCCCTGCAGGGGGCAGCGCGGGCCTCGGGTGGGGACCCAGCGAGTCAGCGGTGCCTACTGACTCTTGTGGGCGCCGGCTTCCCAGACAGCTGTGGAGCTGGCCTGGTGGGGCGCTGAGTCCTGTGAAGGCTGCTCTGGCTCGCGGAGGAGTTAGAAACCCCGCCAGCCTCCAACAGTAGCTGTTTTGGCCTCTTTCACACACAAACGGCCTAGCCGGCTCTCTGATCTCACCCCAAGGCATCTCGCTGGAGGACTATTTCTTCTGCTCCAAAATGGCCCACAGCCCCAGCGAGGACTCAGGGGCGCACTGTGACTGGGCAGAGAGGATGATCTTTGGAAAGTTTGGAGCTTCTTGAAAAGTTCAGTTTACCAGGCTGCACCTCTTGGTCAGGCCGACCTTAAGGTGATTCGAGGTCGAGGGGAAAAAAATCCCTCTCTGAGTGTCTTGCGGAGAGAGCCAGGAGCGGTCGTGTGGCTGACTGCTGGGCCTGCCTCCCAACAGCTGGCTTCGTTTAGATTTTTGTGTGATTAACCGACATCTTCCTGTTCCTTTGCCACATGTATCTAGCAAGCCTCTTTTACCTTATAAGGAGAATCCTTTGTAGAGTGTGGAAGGCTTTGATTGCAGGAAGGGGTGGAGCCCAGAATGACTCAAGTGACTAGCAGTTTTTCAGAAATACATATATGTATGTGCAGTGTCTACGTTTATGTGTGCAGCTTAGAGCCTTTTGATTCTAGATGGTTGAAAACCTGCCAAAAACGTGGTTGCTAGAATTCGGCATTTGCCACATCAGGGGCTGCTCACTTTTTTTTTTTTTTTTTTTCATTTTGAGACAACTCATGAATCAAGCACCACCACATCATCTTAAAAAGCAATTATTTGCCTGCTGAAGGGTACTGGGATTCTTTGTGGGCTGATGAAACTGTTCTGGAATTAGTGATGTTGACTGCACAATTTTGTGAATATACTAAAAAAACCGAGGAAGAAAAAAAAATTGCTTCCTGACCTGGGTGCTGAAGATGAGGAAAGTTAGGGTTCCTGTTGTTAAAAAGAGCCGCCCTGGGTCAGGGGGCCAACACTTGCCCGGCACCGCCAAAAACCCAAATAAGCACCTGGTAACTTGGAAGCACTGAGCGGCAGTTCCTTAAGAGAGTTAAACAGTGATTTTCAGGGCGTCTCCACCCTCTTGTTTGAGGGGACGTGGGGACCAGTCAGCCACAGGTGTCTGCTCTGTCTGGTTCTAGGGCTAAGAAACCGTCCTGATTTTGTGACTTTCAGCCATGATTATCCATCCTCATTCGTGTTCTTGCCTTTTTCTGCTGTGTAAACTGGGCTGCAAAAGGTCTGACTTCCCACTAATTTTTATAGCTGTCCCCACTTCCAGGGCCCCGTATCTGTCCTGGTAGAAAGAGGGCAGATTGCTTCCCCTGCCCCTTGACCTCTCCCATAAGGCCTTGCTGTGCCTCTGGTGGCCGCCTGGGTCCCTGGCCCATCCCTGGGTGGGGGTACTGAAAAGGAAGAGCCCTGGGTTGGGCGGGGCTCTCCAGCTGCTCCTCTCTAGCTCTAAGTCACTCAACAAACCACTCCCCTGGCCAGCGCACACCAGTGTCCCCGTCTGTGAAAGAAGTGGGCTGTGTGAGGTGAACATGAAGTGATACCACAGAGAGTTAGTTCTCCTTTTGTGGTCCTCCCCACCTGTCAGGGGCCAGTCACAGCCCTTGGGGCAGCCGTGGGAAGCCACCAGGCTTTGGCAGAAAGGCTCAGAGAGGTGACACAACCTTCCGTGGCCAGGCCTGGTGACCAGGCACTTGTGACTGGAGCTCTGCTTTGCACACTCAATTGTACTGCCCCTTGTAGGTGAAAACACCTTAAAAGTCAGGATGGTACACACCGGTAATCCCAGCTGCTTGAGTTTTTTGTTTGTTTTTTTGAGTCAGGGTCTCCCTTTGTAGTTCAGGCTGGCCTCAAACTTTCGGCGATCCTCCTACTTCAGCCTCCCGAGTCCTGGGATTACAAGCGTGCGCTCCCAGCTTTTTTGGTGGGGGGTTACTGGGGATCGAACTTGGGACCTTGTGCTTTTGAGGCAGGTGGCGGAACCACTGAGCTAAATCTCCAGCCCCCATCCCAGCTACCTGGGAGGCTGAGGCAGGAGGACTGTGAGTTCAAGGCCAGCCTAGGCAACTTAAGGAGACCCTGTCTCAAAAAAAAATAAAACAGTTGTAGCAGAGCACTTGCCTCGCATGCACAAAGCCCCGGGTTCCTTCCCCAAGATCACACGCACACACAGGCAAGTACCAGTGTCTGGACATGTCCCCCTGGCCTGTAGCCAAGTGTCCTTTGCTTTCTTGTCTCATCACTTCTCAGCCAGACCTGGAGGCCGGTCCTCTAACTGGCTGCACACCCCTTGCTGAATGATGCCCAGTGTCTGTGGCCTGCGTGTTCGAGCACTGATCTTGCCATTCAGATGTGGGGGAGCAGACTTTGTGGGACATGGTGAGCCGAGGCACTAGGGCCTTGCTCTCTGGGAAGCCAGCGCTCAGTATGAGAGCCCGGTACCACTTTGTGAGCCTCAGGAGTCAGCCCGCTGTGGATCTGCTGGGAGTTGCTGAAAGGCCAGTGCGATCTGTCAGATGCGTGGTGTGTTTCTCTCTGATGACTAGTTTTTATTGTTTTAAATGATGCGTGATAAGCGTACGTATTTGTCTCTTCTGTGTTGACAAGACCACCCATCCATCATGGAATGGTGGGTGTCCCCAAACATTGGCAGGCTTCGAAGGTCACTCTGAACTTTGTACACTCTCCAGACAACGTGCGAATCCCTTGTGGCTGGGGCTGCTGGGCAGGCATGAGCAGGACGCTGAGGCCAGCCCAGGGAAGGGCGCGGGGGGCTGCTGACCTGGGCCCACCTGTCCCCCTTAACCTGCCTGCGCCCCTGACCTCTCCAGGCCGAGGGAGATGTGGTGGCTCTCAATCGACGCATCCAACTTGTGGAGGAGGAGTTGGACCGGGCTCAGGAACGACTGGCCACCGCCCTGCAGAAACTGGAGGAAGCAGAAAAGGCTGCAGACGAGAGTGAGAGGTAAGGCCACTCCGAGCCCAGTGACATCACTGCTTGCCCTTGGAAAATTGGGGGTCATACTGCAGAGAAGGCCAACAGCTGGGCAGCTCAGTTTGCAGGTGTGAGCTTGTGTCAGTGACGGGCGGCTGGGAAGGCCATGGTGCCTCTTACAGTACCCTTCATCCTAGTTCTCAGGGCGATGTGAGAAGGGAATGGGCCAGGCGAGGTGGCGCACGCTTGCAAGCCCCAGCATTCTGAGAGGCTGAGGCAGGAGAATTACAAGTTTGAGCCCAACCCGGGCAATTTAGTGACTTAGCAGGAGCCTTTCTCAAAATACAAAGTTAAACAAGAGTCTGGGATATGGATCATTGAAAAGACTCCGGGTTCTGTTTCCAGCATGGCAAAGGCGGGGGTCAGGCTGAAAACTGGAGTGGGCCTTGCTTCGAAGCCGTTAGCAGTGCAGGCTCACCGAGGGCGGCCGCACTTGGGTGTGTGCGCACAGCGGGACTGTTCCTGTACTTGTCACCCCTGCCGTACCTGCACTCTATCTGGGGCTCCCCCGGGTGCCCGGCCCTGGGCGAGGACTGTGTGCCTCACAGAGAGAGGCAGTAGCTCTCTGTGCTGCTCCGTGGGTTCCTTGTGTGGTGATGGCGTGGGCCGGGCAGGGGTCACTGCATTTCTCCCGGTCACCCTGGAGTTCTCCCCAGCCCATGGACCTAAGGGTTCCCGTAGCGAATCCTCCCTCCACAGGATTAGTTTCTGATTGGGTGGCTGTGAGCATAACCCGGATGCTGCATTAGGAGATGTCTGCCCATGCAGTGCAGTAGTTGGGGTTTAGGGAACAGCTCCGCTGCAGGCTCTGTTTCAGCACTTCCTGGGGGCGATGGCAGCTCGGGGAAGCCCCAGGGCCCGGTGAAGGAGCCCATCAGGTGCCAGTGGCAGTGCCCGGGGCCTGGATCAACTGCCACTCATGATTGTGGTCAGACCAGCCTGGCTGGATGTCACGTCGAGGCCCTCCCCAGTGACACACAGCCCGCCCGGGCAGGCCACTCACTTGGTTGCATCATAACACCAGAGGCCTTTGCTGGAGACTGCTATGCCTCAGTAGACAGAATTCTACACTTGGACCTGCAGGATCTAGGTTCAAACCCTACCGCTGCCACTTGGGCAAGTCAGTTTGTCTTTAAGATGGGATCTTTTTTTTTTAGTGCTTCTTGAATGACTTTAATATATATATTTATTGGTACACTTTAGGCATACAATACATTTACATTTATCATTGTGTGTTTGTACCAGAACATGATGTATCTTAGTTCTTATTTTTTCTGCCATTACCTGTGCACCCTTCACCCCCTCCATCCTTCCCTATTTACACAGAGTTTGATTCCATTTTTTTTTCTCATAATTTTTCCTTTCCCTTCTTCCCTTTCCCCTTTGCCTTCCATCATCCCCAAACCTTTGGACCTTTTCTTATTTCAGATTATCAATTATTCATTTTAATCATTTTCATCCTTATTTACACTTTCAGTTTCTCACACTAGGGGAACTATTCGGTATTTATACATGTGTGTCCTATTTATTTCACTTAAGAGTATGGCCTCAATATGCATCCATTTAGCTATAAATGTCTCTAGTTTCTCATTCTTTATGGCTGAGTAGTACTCCATTTTTTAATAAAAAACCACATCTTCTTTATCCACTTTCCAGTCGATGAGCATTTGGGCCGTTTCCAAGCTTTAGCTATTACAAACTGTGCCGCTATAAACATGAGTGCACATATATTGCTGTGGTATGATTCTTTTAATTCTTTGGGGAAGATTCCCAGTAGGGGAACAGCTGGGTCAAATGGGACCTGAAGTCCTAGTCCTCTGAGGTATGAGATGGGATCTTGATGTGTTACCTAGGCTAGTCTCAAACTCCTGGGCCCAAGTGCTTCTCCTGCCTCAGCCTCCCAAGTAGCTGGGACCATAGATGTGCACCAAGGCCCCCAGATGGGCAAGTCGCTTTGATTTCTTGAATATTACAAGGAGTCTTCCAACAATAAACACCCCACAAGCTTGCTCATGTGCTGAAGCTCGGGCCTCGTGCAGGTGTGGAGGATGTCCTGCTGCCTGGCGAGAGTGACAGTGACAGCCCAGACGGAAGTACTTATTGCTCAGAAAGGAGCAGCAAGAATGACACGTGTTGGTGAGACATTATTCTGAGCTGGCCTCTTCTTTGGAGGTCTGTGATCTTGTCTATTCCACGCCTCATAGTTGAAGAAGCCAAAGCAAGCTCACCTCATGGTCAGCCAGTGCGCTGGGAAAGAGGCCCAGCTGTCAGCTGTCCCCAGGACACTGCTTTCCAAGTTGGATGGATACACTTTACTGCAGACCCTCACATCCTTAATCCCTTATCCAAAATGCTTGGGACCAGAAGTGTTTCGGCTTTTACTTTTTTTTTTTTTCATTTTTCAGATTTTAGAGTATTTGCATATATAATCATCTCTCCTTAGGGATGGGACCAAGTCTAAACAAAAAATTTGCTGGCGCTGTAGCTCAGTGGCATAGTGCCTGTCTGACAGGCGCGAGGCCCTGAGTTCAATTTCCGGTACGAAAGAAAAAACAATCAAAACAAAAGATTCATTTATGTTTCACATGTAGCTTATACATATATGTAGCCCCGAAGGTAATGACCTAGGACATTTTACTGTGTATGTGTTTTGATGGCAACCTTTCACGTGAAGTTAGGAGTAGAATTTTGTACTTGTGGGGGCATGTCGGGGCTCAAAACGCTTGGGCAAGGGGTGTAGCCGAGAAGTCCTGCACTTACCTAGCATGGGTAAGGCCCTGAGCTACATCCCCAGCACCACACACACACATTTCCGACTTGGGAGTTCTTTGGACTTCTGGTTCTCAGATTAGGAAGGCTGTCTGCCCCTGACCCCTCCCCTGGTTTTCCTGCTGGAAGTCTGTCACTTTCCCACCCCCTCCAGTTTCCCTTCCCCTTGGCATGAACGCCTACCTCAGCACATCCCAGCCTGTGGCCTCGCGGCCTGACCACGCTGCTGGTTCCCAAGTACATGTGCTCTTTCCTATGTCAGACTCTCTTCTTGCCCTTGGAGAAGCCCAGCATCAGTGTCACCTCTTCTGAAGCCTTTTGCAACCCACTACAGGCCCCACTGCAGTAGAATCCATCGATGCTCCAGAGCACCGCGGGGAGCACAGACTGCAGCCAGACCACTAGGGTGTGGACCCCGGGTTACTAGTTCTGTGACCGTGAGCAAACTACTTGCCCTTTCCTGCCTTTGTTTCTTCATCTGTACAATGGCAGTCATGGCGCGTTTCGTGGGGTGCTTGTGGAGGTTAAGGAGCTTGAAACAGTGAATGTGACCTTGATGGCCGGGTCAGCAGAGCTTCACCTTGCAGTGTGGTGCTCGGGAAATTCAGAGAAGGAAGGGTGCAGAGGAGCAGGGTGGTGCTGTGTGGATGCAGAGAGCTGACGCCAAGCTTGCTCTCCGCAGAGGAATGAAGGTGATAGAAAACCGGGCCATGAAAGATGAGGAGAAGATGGAGATCCAAGAGTTGCAGCTCAAAGAGGCCAAGCACATTGCTGAGGAGGCTGACCGCAAATATGAGGAGGTGAGTGGGGGTGGCAGATGGTGGCAGCAGGAAGCAGGAGGAAATGGAGCTGCTGATAGGAAGAACCCAGGGGGCAGCCTAAAGGAAGCCCCGTGAGGTCAGCTGTCCTGTGTGCACATCTGGTTTTCCTGAGACACCCACTTGGCTGGGAAACTTATCTTGCATGATGCCAAAAGGCCCTGCGGACACTGGTCTAACTCGGTGAGAAACCAGCCAAGCAGCCTGCTCGCCATGTCCTTCAGCTGCACGCTTTGGCCCAGTTTGCCAAGCACTGAGGAGTGCGGCCCGAATTGTGACTCTGTCCCTCTTCTGCCTGGCTCTGTGGTTCACCTCTTCCTTCCCCTCTTCAACTGCCTCACTCCTGGGGCCTGAGGGGAGGATTTCAATTCCTGATTCCCACCAGGCCCCCGCAGTATGAGTTGAGTGGCCAGTTGGCGCCTGTGATGTGGCTGTGGCATCGCCATCTGCATGGGGAGGGCATCCTACTAGATGGTGGGTGGTGGGCGTCATCTCTGCCGGGCCTTTCCGTCTCCGCAGGTAGCTCGTAAGTTGGTCATCCTGGAGGGCGAGCTGGAAAGGGCAGAGGAGCGTGCGGAGGTGTCTGAACTGTGAGTGGCTGAACAGGACTGAGCAGGGCCCCGGCTCACTCCCAGGGTGGAGGAGGGAGTTGGTTAAGTTAGGAACCAACTCTGGCCAGGGCCTCTGCTCAAGTGGGCGGGCGGGCGTCGGGACTCATGGCTCATCCCTTCTCTTCGCTTCCATGGCTGACAGATAGTTAAGAGTTTGTTCTTCACTGCCCTGGGAAGTATTGCCAATGTGTTCTCTTCCCACAAGGATGCTGGAACATAAGCAGGACACAGGAGGTAGTAGAGAAGCCCGGGAGTCCCATTTTCTCAGAAAGGTCATCTTTTTTTTTTTTTTTTTTTAAGAGTCAAAATTCCCCAGGCTGGGCTCAAACTTGGGGTACTCCTGCCTCAGCCACTTGAGTAGCCGAGATTACAGGTGGGCATCCTCATGCCCAACAGGCCATGCCTTCTTAACAGATCACTGGTCAGTGAAAGGCAGGCTGCCCTGCCCTTTTGGTGTAGCAATGCTTCGCTCCATGTCAGTGCTGGGCCATGACATTCCTGGGGGCGTGGGGCAGGCTTGACCAGAATCCTGCAAGCTCCAACAAACAAAAACACCACTTTCCTTGGCCTTGGATGAGGAATCCAGCTCCACAGAGCACCCTGCAGTGCCAAGAGAGATCTGGTTTCACAAATCCGTTCCAGGCTCGCTTCCCAGTGTCCAGTGTAAACTCTGATTGCTGTCTGCCAGCCTCCTGTACTCGATCTCATTCTTAAACCCTCCGGACATGGCCTCATCCATCATAGATTCCCCAAGTCCCTGTTGATTCTTCCCTGGCCAAAGCCCAGGAGGGCTTTAGGGACGTTCCAAGTGCTCTCGGCCTGCCCTGCCTCTGCCTGGTATGAGAGGGATTTGCTAAGTACACAGCACTACATCTCCGAAGAATCCATTAACATTTTCCCCCACATTCCTTCTGGAGGCCCTGGGCACACAGGTTTCTCCTTCTGCAAACTTTTTTTAAAGAGAACTGCCTGCGGTACGGGGAGATAAGACACACAGATCTTTTGTCTTTGTGCAGAAAATGCGGTGACCTGGAAGAAGAACTCAAAAATGTCACTAACAACCTGAAATCGCTCGAAGCTGCATCTGAAAAGGTTGGTGGTTGGCTTGAGTCGCAGGGTGACTTGCTGGACTTTGTTCTTTTCTTCAGCCAAGTTACTCGGAACATGCCAGAGTGTCAGGAATCTGACCTTTATTTGTTGACAGCAGCTCTGGTGCCCAGCAGCCAGGGTTTTCCCCTATAGCAAGAGCTGGCGAGTGGCTGGGCTCAGGCATCCTTCTCCATGGGGTCTGAATACCTTTTTTAAAAAACGTGTGTGTGATTGGAGGGCCTTACGCCTACTAGGAAAGTGCTCCACCACTGAGCTACATCCCCCACCCTTTTTTTGAGACAGGTTCTCACTAAGTTGCCCAGGCTGGTCTCAAACTTGTGACTCTCCTGCCTTAGCTTCCTGAGTAGCTGAGGTCATTGGCTTAGCATCATCTTTCATCTCCACTTCATATGAGGATAGAGATGGAATGTGAGTATTTGGTCAGGCTCCTCTTAGGGACTGAGTGAAACCAAACAAATGCAGAGCTTCACTCTTACCTTACCCCTTGGTTCTCCCAGAAAAACCTTCACAGAGGTGGAATTAGCTGTTTCAGGCTGAAACAGCATCCAAAGCAGTTACTCCAGAAAAGAAGCACATTGTGCCAGGGATTTTGCTCAGTGATGCCGCTGCCTGCCTCGCAAGTGCAAGGTCCCAAGTTCGATCCCCAGTACCAAAAAAGAAAAAAAAGCTGTGTAGGGCTGCAGGTGTAGCTCAGTGGTAGAGCACTTGGATGCCAGGTACAAGGTCCTGGGTTTCATCCCCAGCACTGAATGGGATTTTGTTGGGTTTTGGGTTTGTTTTTTTTTTTAAACCAGCCATCTATGTGCTGATGGCCAGAAGCACACATTCCAAATACCAGAGTTCAACTCCAAGTTTTAATCAAAGCTTTGTCACCTAATAGCCATGTGGCCCGAGACAAATAACTTAGCCTTTCCACACCCCTTTCGGGAAATGGGATTAAGGAATAGTAGTTGTGGTGCCTTTGACCATGGCTGGCCAGGGAGGAAGCTCACAGATGTTCGTGACAGTGACCTGGGATGTGACTTCAGAGACAAATGCACTGTCTGACAGGCAGTCACGGGGACAGGAACAGGCCGTGCTGAGGAACACATTCATGGACAAGGGCTGGAAGACAGGAGTGCACAGAATGCGTTCAGTGGTGGCTGGCACCTTGCAGGTGGGGTGGCACTAGGGTGGACACGCAGGCTGGGCCTTGAGGAGCGCGCATCGCCATGCTTGGTCTGGAAAGGAGCCCACTCCTGCTCGGCTGCAGAGCCCATTTTCAGTTCCTTGTGTACACCCTTCTCCCTGAGGGACAGGCAATCTTGTTATTCCTCCTTGTTTTACAGCCATGTTTTGGTTTCTCCCACAGTATTCTGAAAAGGAGGATAAATATGAAGAAGAAATTAAACTTCTGTCTGACAAACTGAAAGAGGTGAGTGGATCGGAACTAGTTAGCTTCCCCCCCCCCAGGGCTGATCCGGGCCCATGGTACTGACTTTCTTCTTGTCTAGGCTGAGACCCGCGCTGAATTTGCAGAGAGAACGGTTGCAAAACTGGAAAAGACCATTGATGACCTGGAAGGTACGAAATGTGTCTGTTGCCTCTCGCCCTGTGTGACATAGCTACAGGATGTGGTTGTGTGTATGTGTGTGTGTGTGTGTGTGTGCGTGTGCGTGTGCACGTGCAGGGGCTGAGTTGGGCATTATTTGCCTAAGGAAAGTAAAATGCAGAGTGAGGAAGTCTGGAATTTCTTTCAACTTGCTCATTTCAGAGATGCCTGGCATTTTTACAGGGCACTCTCCCAGAGAGCTGGGAGCTTATCACAGTGAAAAATTGGAAAGATAGGGAATGCAGAGACAAGAATAATTTAAGACTCTAGTCTACAAGTCTGGTTGGTGCCCCACACAACCCAGCATTTCCTGTAGTGTTCCAATTATAAAAATTCTGCCCTGTTTTTCTTGATATAGCCCGGAAATTCCAAGACATTTGGGGTTAAAACTAAATCTCCCAGCCTGCCTGTCTCACCCAGAAAGGGTACAAACTCATTCTTCGGACCATATGTCCCTGTTTGCTTTGGGAAGTGAAGCTTCCATATAAGGGAAGATGCCCTGTTCCAAAATGTGGCCTTTGAATCGAGTGACATCATTGGAAGTCAGAAATAATCTGGGGCCCCAAGGTGGTTGAGAGGGCGCTCTGGCCGTTTCTAGTCACCATTCTTTTAAAGGTTCCTGATGGCTAATCCCTCACAGTATCTTATACCACTTAGAAATCACTCCATAGATCCTTTTTTGTTTTCATTTGTTGTGCATAGGACACAACTTTCTCTTAGTTCATGCTTTGTTTTCTCACTTTGTTTTCTTCCTCCTGTTGCTCATCTGTGGCACTCCATTCAGCCCTCGAGTTCTGTTCTGTATGCCTGTCCTTCTGAACTTTCTCCCTGGGGACCTGCGCCCTCTACAAGAGCTGTATGCTCAGAAGCTCAAGGACAAAGCTATTACCGAGGTGCCGGACCATGCTCTCAGTGACTTGACCTCCCTGAGAGGCAGCTAGGGTGCCACCCTAGGTGCTAGCAGTACACCTTCCCACTGTGGCGCCTACACTCCTGGGCTTCTGGGAGCTCTGGTTTCCTGTCTTTTGGTTGGACCTTTCAAGCCTCCTTCTGATGTGGCCATGACTCCGTGACTGAAATAAAGACAGGCCGCCCTCACCTTCATACCCTTTCTCATTTTGGTTTTCTCTACTTGCCGCCCTTGACCATGGCTGGAACCAAAAGTGGGTGACTGGGGCGGGGGATTTAGCTCAGTGGATCCACCGCCTGCCTCGTAAGCACAAGGTCCCGAGTTCGATCCCTGGTACCAAAAAAAAAAAAAAAAAAGTGGGTGATTGGCTCTCTTCTCTCAAACGAGGAGCTCATTACAAAAAGAAAAATGATGCCCACTTGATTCTTTTCTGAAGATGTGAAGATAAAGCCAGTTTGGCATGAGCTCCCAGATGTGGCATTCGCTAACTGCTTCTGCATGCCAATAGTTTTTCCTTAAATAGAAATTGTTTTAAATGGAGACTCATCACTCCAGACCCTTAGGCAGCTTAAGAAACTCAGCAGAACTTACAGAAACCAGCAGGCCTGTGTCTCAAACAAGGCTACCCTTGGGATTTCAAGCTATGAATTCAAACAGCGGCAATGGTGTTTCCTCTCCTTATTCCTTTTCTCATTTGCCTTCTCTGTCTGCTCTGAGAGTGGTGACTGGGGGTCCTCACGTCGTCGTTGTTCATGGGACGTTAATCCAGCTCCCAGTCCTGGGAGTTCACCAAGGAAATTCATCTCGATTCACCCTGCCCATAGAAAACTATACAAGGAATTCAAGAACATCCCATAGCAGGGAAAGGGAGTTAAAACAGTTATGATGTCAAAGAAGTAAGGTGATTTTTCTTCCTGAGTGCCACATAAAATGGCCAGACACTAATATCTCTCTCTCTTCACAGTCCAAGAATCTCTCTTTGGTTTAGTAAGAATGCATAAAGTTGTCTAGTGGGTGTTCAAAGTTCATTTTTTTTGTTTTTTGTTTTTAAGACAGGGTCTCAACTACGTAGTTCAGGGTGTTCTTGAACGTACTTACTGTGTACCCCAGGCAGGCCTGGAACTCATGGCCATCCTCCTGCCTCAGCCTCCCAAGTGCTGGGACTTCAGGCGTGTACCGCATGCCTGGCATTTTATTTTTCATCATTCTGTAGTGTTTGTTTTTTTTAATTCAAATGGGAACCTCTGTCCCAATGTTTTATTCATTCCTCCAAAACACATTTCCCTCAACTCCCCACACCTCTCTATCCCAGCCTCTGTTGCTGCCACTTGCTCTAAACTGGTGCATAAACCATTGCCTGCATTGCCTTCCATATGCCCTTGGAGTGATTGCAGACTATATAGGGGGTGGTTTCTGTTTGCTCTCTTTGTTCCTGGGACTTTTCCAGGCATGTGTGGCCTCCACCCTTTGAAATAACTATCCAGCCCTACCTATCCAGTCATTCTACCTAACTAAGCACCAAAATGGAACTTCATTAACAGAGATTAGTGCTATGGAGGTGATAATCCATGAGCCTTGACACAGTTCTCAAGATCAGTTAACACTTTAGGGGAAAGTTGCTTCATCTCAGATGCATTAACAAAATAGATGCCAGAGAGTCCAGATGACAAGGTGAAGGGAGTTCAGGATTTGTAGAGACCTACGTTGGAATCCTAGCTCTGCAACCTTGAACAAGCCACTTAGCTTTTCTGAAAAATAAAGGTGTGATCCTCAGAAATTGTGAAGATGGGATGAGGAGGTGGCACAGAACCCAGCTCACACACCCAGCATTCCTGAACATCTCTGCATCCAGACTGCATAGGTCCAGGTCACTTGGGGGGTTTTTTTGTTTGTGTTTTGAGACAGGGTCTCACTATAGCTCGCTTTGAACTCACTGTGTAGCCCAGGCTGGCCTCAAACTTGTGCTGATGCTCCTGCCTCAGCCTCCCAAATGCTGGGATCACATGCCCGGTGATTTTTCTTAAGTGCCTTCTCAGATGAAAGGTTGCACAGTTGTAGCAGAAAGGCAGCTATCTCCTCCAATCTCTTTTTGCTTCTTTCTGAAAATTTCCAGGCTGATCATACCATATTTTATGAGGCAGTTTTGCTTTCCTCCAGTATTTTAATGACTCTTGGCTGAGTCTCTCATCGGCCATCCCTCACTGCAAACCAGTTCTCTCTCATGCTTGGTCGTGACTTTTTTTCCTTTTTTTTTTAGTTTATCAGTTCAATCACTGAAAAACATGCCTCCAAATAAAGTCTGGTTTGAATTTCAGTCATGTTACATTTACCAGAGGTTGACAGATTGCTGTGGATACACAGACACGATGACACAAGTATGCCTGGAATTTCAATAGCCATTCCCAGTAGCTCCATAGAAAAGATGGGTTATTGGATTACATTTTCCTATCAAAGGTCAAGGACTAATTAACTGGCATTAGGGGAAAATTGTATTAAGTCGCCCATATGAGTACTACAAGTTTGTGTAGTGTGTAGCACTTCGTATCTCTCGAATTATTTCTCATTTGTTCCTCATGTCTGTATCATACACTGGTACTCCTCTGCCCCTTTGACAGAATGGCAGAAACTAAGAGGTAGAAAGATTAAATGGCTTACCTCAGCAGCACAACTAGGGTTTAAACACAAGTGCTCAGTCTCGAGGGTTGCCAAACTCGGCCAGTGAAAACACAAGACACCCCGGGGATTTAGCTCAGTGGTGCCACCGGCTGCCTCACAAACGCCAGGTCCCGAGTTCGATCCCTGATACCAAAAGAAAATACAAGACACTGAGTTAAATTTGAGTTTCAGAGAAGCAAGGAATAATATTTTGGCCTAAGTATATCTCATGCAACATCTGAGATATACTTATTATTTTGGGGGGGGATATACTTATTCTAAAATGTTATTTGTGGTTTATCTGAAATTCAATTTAACTGGTACCCTATATTTTACCTTGCAATCCTGACTTCAAATTTTGGTTCTTGGTCCCTATTATTCCATCTTATTCTGCTGTAATTAAAATGCTAAATATTTCTCTGTTATGACTTTCACTTGTGTGAAGTGTAGAAACCTTTTTTTTTTCTGTTTAGCAAAGATGATTATTCATTTTTCCTTTCTCTCTTCATCCTCACCAGAAAAACTTGCCCAGGCCAAAGAAGAGAACGTGGGCTTACATCAGACACTGGATCAGACGCTAAATGAACTTAACTGTATATAACCAAAAACGGAAGAGTCTTGTTGCAACAGAAACTCCAGTGTCATTCCCTTTGCCTTGTAAGAAGTCTCTTTTGTTACTTCGCTTTGCTGGAAATGTCAAGCCAATTATGAATACATGACCAAATATTTTGTATCAGAGAAGCTTTGGGCACCAGTTTAATCTACCCCCCCCCCTTTTCTGAATGGCACTAGCTTTTTCAGCTCTATTTTTATCCTTAAGTTGCATTTATTTCTAAGATAAGGCAGGGTATTTCATATTGAGCGTATTCTCATGAGACCGAGGTCCGCTTTCTGGGAGAACAGTCAACACACTTTGAAGAACATAGGATTCTAATATCTAGTAATGGGTTTAAAATGCTAAAAAATATATACTCTCTGGGTCACCACTGGCCAAACAACAGGAGGCTAGGGACCATCACAGTAAAATGGGTGGGGATTTTCCATCCAGAGCAAAAAATAAAAAAGGCTTTGTTGGGAAGTCATAAACCACAGCTAGATTAACCTAGTCATTCCTGGCCCTCCTCCATACTCCACTGCAGAACAAACATCCTCTGAGCCATCAGGACGAGAATGCCTGGGAAATGGTCATAATATTTACTCATGTATTTTCTGGACACATCCTGAATGTTATGCTCTTCCACATATCCCATTCTAAAGTGGTTCTCTGGTGAGTGGTTCTCTTACTTTAACAATGGCCCATGCTTGTCTGTTCTGATATAAGACTGAGCACTCGGCAGGAACATGCTGTTTAGACCTGTCCAGCTCAGCCATATTCAGATGACTGCTTGCCATCAAACTGAGCAAAACAACTGTTCTCTATAAAAAATACAGGGCAGCAAAGTAGAGATCAAAAAGTAATCGGTTTAGCTTCATCTCCACACTTCAGGGAATGTCAAATTGAAGATTTTCTTATCTAGGACTTGAATTCCTTCTTCGGGACCAAGTTAATAAAAGTTCAAGAAACTCCTGATGAAACTGGAGAATTTTGTAGGCAGAGGCTGCGTGTCTTGGTTTTGTTGTAGTTTTGCTTTCTCATTTAACATCTCAGAGCTGAAACATTCCATATTCCCCAGCAGTGTGGGGGCCAACTCAAGTTTACAATTCTGACCAAAAACCACCCTGCTTCTAGCTTATCTGAATCCCCTGCCCCTCACTCCTATTTATTAAGCATCACACTACCCAGGAGATACACTAGCAAATTGTGCAAATGAATAAAATCCACACTCTAGATTCTTGCAGCTGTATCATATGTAATAGTACCACTTTTTCTACATTTTGGTCAAATAAATTTTTACAGAAACTACCATTTGTGTGAATTTAAGAGTATGTGGGGACATCCAATGTCCTCTGGTTCAACAAATGTTAATGGGATGGAAAGAGAAGATAACTGTGCCAAGAACTGAGCAAAAGTTACAAATTTGCTTTATACCGTGATTGCATGATAAAAAGATTATGATTTCCATATTCAGTGCAGATGAGAGCACTTGGCCTCAGTACTCAAAAGCTCCTGTCCTTTGTCATTCCCAATCCTCCCTAAGCCAGGCTGTGAAGAATAAGATTTTTTTTTTTTGGTACCAGGGATCGAACTCGGGACCTTCTGCTTGTGAGGCAGGTGGTGGAACCACTGAGCTAAATCCCCGGCCCTTAAGATTTTTAGATGGCAAGCAGGGAAGACGGTCTTCACTGCTTGAGCTTAGGAAATACCAGGCCTGCCTGGATAAGGCTTTCCAGTGTAATGTACAAATAAACCAGAGGGCTGAGGTTGCACCTTAGCGGTAAAGCACTTGACTCATGTATGATGCCCTAGGTTCAAGCCTCAGTTAAAAAGGCAAAGCAGAAGTCGAAAAAGTGGAAGGTAGGGCTGATTCCACACTGGCAAGAACCTAAATTGGCCAGAAATAGAGAACACTGAAAAACGAGTAAACAAAGCAATGCATTAGGACAATCCACTTAGCATTCATTTTCTGGAAGAACTAGAGTCAAAGTAGACTTCAGGCAGTAAGGCAAGTTGGGAAAATGTTTCAATAATTCAAGATGATGACTGCCTTGAATAAGAGGGAAATACTGATCAAAAGAAGTGATCTTAAAATTTAGCTGACTGGACAACTAGGAGTTTAGAGTCACTACAGTTTCACTACCTGAATTGCTGATACTTGGCTCCAACATCTTACCTTGGGGAAGTAAAGAATCAGAGAAATGAAAACCTTTGAAATGTTAATCCAGTATGCAAACAAGTTTCTGTTATCAACTGTCATTAGTCATGTCCAGTTAATTCAATGTGGAGTCAACACTGAGTATTTAGATAGCAGGTGCAGGGAATATCAGTAAAGTATAATTCCCCTCCTATTTGTGCCATACATTGCTAGACTGAAGTTCCTCCTTTATGTACCTCTTTTCTCCTGCCCACCCGCCTGGGGTTCTGATCTAATCTCAGGTTAAGTGTTTTAGTCGTCCATGTGCTGCAGCACTTAATATAAAAATCACTTGCTGTTAACTGACCCATCCCAGCTCTTGGGGAGTTCCAGTCCCATAAGTGTGGGTGGAAGAGAGCGAGGTTAGGATCAGATTGTGAGGGGCATCATACATTAAGGGAAATAGTTCTTACGCTGCTGAGAGGCCACAGGTAAATATTCTACAATGAGCAGGGTAGCATCTAGATTAGAGGAAGTGGTCAGGGAGGCCAGTGGAGAAATGTGGTGATCTGAGGAGGCAAGATTCAAAAGCTACTTAAAATCTCTGTAAGAACCAGGATTTGAGAGACCACGGAAAGTTGTCCAAGGTAATTATCTTAGGTTTCACCAAGAAGGGAATTAGAAGTGAGCCTGGACAGATGAATTCAGTTGTGGACATGCTAAGTTTGCATGATCTTTGGCAAATCTAAAGGCGGATGTGTCGAGAAAGCAGTGAAACATGGAGGGAATCACCAGGAAAATGGATTAAAAACAGCATCACATGGAGATATGGAAGCCAGAGGAGTGAATGAGGTCACCCAGAAAGTGAGAATAGAGACAAGGAACCACAAGGAGCAGCAACATTTAAAGGAGGAACAGAAATCCCCTAAAAGGCTACAGTGGGCTCTGACAAGCCACAGAGAGGGGGAAGTGGGGTTGAAGAAGAAACAGGCATATAAAACGGGCAGAATACCAGGAAAAAACTACTTCCAGAGAAGGTAGCCAAGCATATCAAACACCAGAGGCTGAGGCTAAAAAGCAGTCATGGCCCTGGCTGAAACTCCTTCCGGAGCTGGATTAGTTAAAGCAGGAGCTGAGAGGGAAAAGAGAAGTGGGCTGGCTTCCAGCCTACCTGCAGGCGAGCCCTGAGGCTCCTCGGATGGCCCGGGAGGACCTAGAAGAGACTGAACCATGCCTGAGAAGCAGGAAACTGAGATCAGATCTTGGCCTGTGAAGCAGGATGGTCTGAGTCCAAAAACCAACTTCCACTCCGGGGCCTGGGAGTCACTTAACCTACGGCCTCGGTCTTCTCAGCAGAAAGAAGAAAATATACCTACCTGGCTGGGGTGGGGTAGGGATTAACTACTCCTTGTGCGCGTGATCCTGGGGATGGAACCCAGGGCCTTCACGCTGGGCCACATTCTCCATCCTTTCTGTTATTTTTTTTTTGTTTTGGTACCGAGGATGAACTCGGACCTTGGCTTGCGCGGCAGGCGGCGGAACCACTGAGCTAGATCCCCGGCCCATCTTTTTTTATTCTTGGGACAGGGTCTTGCTAGATTGCTCAGGCTGGGCTTGAACTGCCGACCCTCATGCCTTGGCCTCCCAGAGTGCAAGAACTCTGCCTACTTTTTCTGTGTGAGGAACACCTCCAGGTACAGAACCAGCGCCCCGCAATATTTCGTGGCGTTGTCGCCGCGACTTCCAGGTTCGGGGAGCCCCCGACAACCTCTAATTCGGGAAGTCGCTCCTGTGAAGGAAGCTCGGGTGGCAGCACCGAAGTCCTGGGGGCTGCTTCTTGACACTGGCGACCGCCCCTTCTCTCCTGTCCTCTGCGGGCCCGACGCGGAAACCTCCAGACGACGGTCCGGGCGCAGCCACCTTCCCGCTCTCGCTCTTCCCGCGCTCGCCTTGGCGCCTACTGCGACTGCCCGGGTTGACAGGGCGCCCCTAAAGACCCGCCCTTTACGCGTGTGCGCCCTCTGCCGAAGCCAACGGTCTTCCTCGAGCGCGTGCGCAGACGCGCCAGACACCCCGGCCAGCGCGCGAAGTTGGCGGCAATCCCCACCCTCGCTTTGGGGGAAAGAAGGCGGGGACGCTGGTGCCACGCCCCCTTCTCTTCCCCATTTGAAGCCCCCCCTCCTCAGCGCTGGCCAATCACAGCCCGCCCCATCCCGAGCGCCTACCAATGGGCGGTGTGCTCCGGCTTCTTCCGGCTTCGCGCCCAGCTCGCCCCTTTCCCCAGGCCTCCGCGCAGCAGGCGGGGCCCAGGGGCGGGAGTCGCCTCAGTGACGCGCCGCGGGCCGCGAGCCAATGAGGGGCGGGCCCGGCGCTGATGGACGGGACTGGCGACCAGTGGCGAGGCACCAGCTGCACTTCCCGTCTGGGAGAGAGTGTAATATGGCGAAGACCTACGATTACCTGTTCAAGCTGCTGCTCATCGGGGACTCGGGGGTGGGGAAGACCTGTGTCCTGTTCCGCTTCTCCGAGGACGCCTTCAACTCCACTTTCATCTCCACCATAGGTAGTGGGTTGGGGGCAGGAAGGGCCGAGGGGCTGCGGGGAGCGGGGTGGCCTCCCCGTGGGGACATCGAGGCCGGACCCCGGTGCCGGGGAGCGCGTGGCCCAGCAGGGGTCCGGCCGGCCGCGAAACGGTTCTTCCGGGGTCCCTGGCGTTCAGGAGGGGAAACTGAGGCAAGGACGTGGACCTCGTCGAGCCCCTTACTGTGTACCCTCCGGGGTTCCGTGCTGGGGTGGAGTAGGAGCCCAGCTCCCAGTGAGGGATCTGAGGCCCAGAGGTGGTGGAGGAGCCGCCCAAGGTGACAGCCTGCAGGTGGCAAGGATGAGATGGGAACCCAGGTGTGTCCGACTCCACAACTAAGGGCTCAGCCATCCCAGAGATGCTGCCGCGCACCCAGCCGGGCTCCCCCGCCTCTGCTGGTCTAAACTCTGTAGTGTTGGGGACTGAGCCCCGCCCTCCCTGCCCTGTCGCCAACCCCCCATGAGCAATTTTTCCTCTAGAAGCATGGTGACAGCAAGGATGAGTGACATCTGCCCGCCCAGGACCTGTCATCCAGAGCAGAAGTGAGATAAAAGCCTCAGGAGGAAACTAAATCAGCCCCTGCCCCAGGCAGCCTCGACTTCCCTATCAGGGCCCAGGGCACCCGTTGTCACTGAGCAGACAGCTTTTCCCACAGGGCCGGCCCACACTGCGGTTGAACAGAACGGGCTGCTTAGTCTCGATCTGGCATCCACAGAAGTAGAGCCAACTTCTCTTCTGGCTACACAGTCATTGCTCACAAGGAAGGGGTTGGAGGAGAGCGCCCTAGGAATGAGGCAGGGTTCCCCAGTAAAACCCAGGGAAGGGGCTTCACTGCCTGTGTGTGGTGTCAATCAAACCATGTCATTCCCCTCAGTGTCATGTCATTGCCTATGTGTGAATGCCTCCTTGCCCTCTTTTGGGACCTGTATTTGGTGAATTGATCACACGTCCGACATAAGGTAGAAGGAATCAGGCTGAAAGTCATCATGACTGGTTTCTGGTTGCTGTTTGCCTCTGCACCAGCACTACCCTTCTCTGAGCCCTGTTTCTTCAGACCAGGGGCACCGCTGTCTGCCTGGGCCAGATGCAGCATCCCACCAGCAGGTACAGGTGTCCCTGAACCGTCCGCACTCCAAGGTCAGACTGTGGGATGGCCCTGGAGTCCCCACCAACCAGGAAGCATTGTCAGCTCCTGGCAGGCTGAGGTCAACCCAGACCTCAGTTCCTCACCCTCTGACACCAGAGGGATCAGCTCAGGGGTTGGACTTGGTTTGGTTTGCAGTTCTTGACCAGAAAACCCACTCCTGTGTGTGACTTGGGCGAGGCCACCCGGGCAGGTAGAGGCAGCACTTGAACCCAGGCTCGCTCTCTCCAGCCCAGCGTTCGCGTTACCCCTGCAGCCTCCCTGTAGCCCTTTGTCTTCTAGGAAAGTTTAATTTGCTTTGACCTTGAAGTTACAGTCATAATTCTCGGGCCTTATGAAGTGTGTGTATCCTTCCTTGATTAAACTTGGTGTGTTCACAAAGCCCAGAAGAGTGACAGAGTGCAGCACCGGGGGCCAGGCTTTAGAGTGTGTGTGTCCCTGGGCGCCTGGGTTTCAGCAGCGGTGACTCTGGGCTGCTCAGCCCCAAAGCACACTGACGGCACACAGGAGACTCCACACTGGCACGGAGTGCACTCTGGTTTCCTCTATAGATCGGGATTGAGTGGCTGTTCATTTGCTGCCTGGGGTGTGTCCTGCCAGAGCGCATTCACATCGGCTCCATTGATCTTTGGAGGTGTGAACTTGGCCCTGTGTCTCCCTGGAATTGGTTCCCAGCCTGCGTGGGCCCCACCGCCTCCTCCGGGCCCGTGCATTGCTTCCATGACAAAGATGACATTCATCAGAGTCCTCCGTCATGTGAACAACGCTGAGGAGACACAGTTGCTGCAGGTCCTTTCATCTGGGCATCTCTCACTGACCCGGCTGCAGCCCTGTGTCACTCTGGGCATGGTGGCCACAGAGATGACTGAGAGGGAAGTGAGGTGTCTCGAGGGCTGAAGAAAGTTCGTGCAAGGCCCGGGCTCAGCTTCAGGCAGATCCATCCCGGCCCTGTGGGTGTAGCTGCTGGCGGTGACAGCAGTGTCACATTGAGTCCCTGCCTCCCGCAGCCTGTGCTCCCGTGGGTGAAAGTCACCTGCAGGCTGTGTCCCCGCTGGTCCCCAGGACAGCTCTGGAGGCTGCTGCAGACGTGTCCCCGGCCTGGATCCAGAGTGGCCGGGGCCGGGCCCGAGGTAGAGGCTGGGTGTGGCCATCTCCCCTCCAATGCACTTTGCCTCCAGGTCCACCGAGCAGTAGTTGCCCTCTGTCTCTGTCTTGGTGACCATGTTTGTGTCATGGGCCCCAAATCCATGAGCTCACCCAGCTGCAGGCCCACGTTACTGTTCTAAACAGTTTCTTCTCTGCCGAGCCTGGACAGACTTCCCCGCCGTTCCCCCCAAGTAGTGCAGCGGGGCGATAGTGATGGAACGCATTGATTGTGCTGAGTGTTCACAGTCGCCTGGAGATGCCTCGTCCTTGGAGAGCAAAGGGACTCCAGTGTCTGCAGATTGGGGTGTCCTCGGGAGGTCCTAGGACCGTCCCCTGCGGCCACCGGGGACAGCTGTGTGCCGTGTCAGTGTGAGATCGGGAAGGCCCTGGGGAGGTGACGAGCAGGGCCAGGCGGGATGCAGGTGCTGCGGAAGGAAAGATTCCAGAGGTGGGAAGGGCTGGCGCAGCCTGGGAGGTTCGGGTGCAGCTGCACAGGCAGGCAGGACCCGAGGGCATGCGGTCAGCTCTTGTCTAGCGGTTCACACCGCAAGGAGGGTGTTGGCTTTATTTTTCAGTAGCTCTATGGGCATAGCATTCACATAGCATAGGATTCAGCATTTAAAGTTCACAGTCCGGGGCTTTTAATGCAGTCTCGGAATCAGGTGTCATCAACACAGTTGAGAGCATTTTCACTGTGCGGAAGGGAAGCCCATGGGCCTCAGCCAGCCCGATTCTCCCCTCCTCTCCCCCACGCCGTGCTCCTGTCTGTGGGCCTCCTGGTGGGGCGTTTCCATCGGGGCGGTCCTGGTCTGGCTTCTGGCCAGCATCACGGTACTGTAGGGTAGTCGGTGTCCGCTCCTTTTTAAAGGCTGCGTGGTGTTCCACTGCATGCGTGGCCACCGTGCTCAGCCTGTCTTCAGTGCACACCCTAGAAGACTAGCTGGGAGCACCGGTTGGTTACATTTGTGGGGACTGGGAGGGGACAGTGGGGGAACCGTGGGATGGGGGAGAGCTTCAAGGTCACCCGGGCAAGGAGGGTTAAAGCAGGAGCTAGGAGAGAAGGTGAGGAGTCAGGAAGTCCTCGTAGGTGACCTTTGAGTCAGACTTTCTTTTCATAGGCAGGTAGGGCGTAGGCCATCTGCAGCGAAGGATGGGTGTGCTGGGGTGGGGCGGGGACGGGCATGGCCCGAGTGCCCAGTGTACTGTGGGTGAAGGTCCTGTGGGCTGGGGGGGCGGGAGGGCGTGGCCTGAGTGCAGCAGCCATTGTGGGCCAGGCACAGGGTGATGGAGTGCAGTCCCGCCCTGCACAGGGCTCTTAGGGTGGGCCTGCCAGGCTGCCATGGGCAGTGAGGCCCCTGCTCGTAGTCAGGTGCAGAGCAACACTGTGGCACCCGCCCCTCGCCACTTTCCCTCCATCCAGCTCCCTGGGCCTCAGTCTCCGGCTGGCTGTGAGACAGCGGGGTGCTCCGGGTGCCTCCGGCTTGCTGGGCAGCTCCTGTGATCCGGGCCATGGGTAGACAGTGATATGTCGTTTTTTTCTTTTCTCTCAGGAATCGACTTTAAAATTAGGACCATAGAGCTCGATGGCAAGAGGATCAAACTCCAGATTTGGTGAGCGTCGCTGCTCCGCCCTCCCCTGGCCAGTGTGTCAGCCCCAGCCATGGTCCCCCTCCTGGGCCGGCAGCTCCTGTCTGGGTACCCAGCCCAGACCCATCCCTGCCCGCCCAGGGACTCCGCTGTGCTGCGCTGGGCATGGAGGCTGTGCCCACCTGTGGGGACGGGGCCGCCCTGCCAGTTAGCTCAGCCCAGCGTGCCCATGGGGGCCGCGCTCTGCCAAGTGGCACTGAGAGCAGGGGGACAGCAGGCCGTCCAGGGTGGAGTTGCTCTCCCTGAGCAGCACTTCCTCTTTTCTCCCCCAGAGGCCGTACTTCCTGCTGGGTTAGACCTGTGCGCCCGAGGGCTGCACACCCCAGGCTGCACACCCCAGGCGGAGGACAGGGCTGTTGTGAGGCTCCAGCCCCACTCTGGGCTCTGGCTGTGGGTGTAGTCCACCCCGCTGACCCCTGCGCCTGACCTCAGACCCGCAGTCCAGACCCGCACTAACTCCTGTCAGTCCTGCAGTGTGTGGCCGGGCACAGTGGCGCCCGTCTGTCACCCCAGCTGCCTGGGAAGCTGAGGCAGGAGGATCATAGGTTCAAAGCCAGCCTGGGCAGTGTAGGGAGACCCTGCCTCAAAATGAAAAAAACATAGAAAAGGCTGGGACTTGTCGCTCAGTGGTAGAGCACTTGCCTCGCACAGGTGACACCCTGGGTTCCATCCCGACACTGCAAAAGAAATTGTGTCTAAGTCCTGCAGAACTGGGCAGCCAGCCAGCCTCTGTGCCTGCCGAGTCACACCATGGAAGTTCACTTCCACTAGGTGGCCGGGCTGCAGCCTGTGCCCGAGTCAGGTGACTTCGCTGGACCAGCAGAAGCCGTGCCGTCTTCCTTAGACTTAGCAGTCTTGAGGCCAGGGCGGGCTGGGAGTGCAGTGGGTGGCGCTGAGACCTGGCGGGCTGGGGCTCCACAGTGAGCACTTGCCCAGCATGTGCAGGCCCTGGCTCCACCCCTGGCACCCACAAAACTGCCGCCAGCAAGGTGCTGCTAGGCGGCGAGGAGCCCTGGGCCCAGCAGCAAAGGACACGTCCCAGGCCACTATCCACTGTCTTGACGCTGCTACTCCTTGCCAGTCCCGAAGCTGTGGCTGGGCATGGTGGCACACACCTGTCACCCCAGCTACTTGGAAGGCTGAGGCAGGAGGATCACAAGTTCTCCTGCCAGGCACTGGGCTGCGTGTGGCTTTGTCTCCCTCCTGGGGCCATGGGTCCCCTTTCCCCATCAGACAGGTGAGGGAGGTCCTTCCTGTCCCCAAACCAAGACGGCGAGCAAGAATGTGCCCCACAGCCCCACACTGCTCTGAGCATGCCCTGCTCCTCCGGCCCCTGGAGTCACTCGGGGCCCTGGAGCTGCACCCCAGGACTTCCAACTCCAGAGACAGCATGGCCTGCCAGCCACCCGAGGCCCCAAGAGCGCAGTTCCTTCTCCAGTCCTCGGTGGGAAGGGAGTCATCACGGGGACCTGGGGACAGCCAGTGGCCTGGGTAGATTGGAGTCACTAACCCCAATCCTCCTCTTCCGTCCAGGGACACAGCCGGGCAAGAACGGTTTCGGACGATCACGACGGCCTACTACAGGGGCGCCATGGTACGGGTATTTGTCCTCTCACTTCTGGGGTCCCTGCGGAGCCTGCGCTCCTGGGCGTGTGAGGTCCCCGAGGCTGTGGGGGCTGCCCCCTCCACACGTCCCCCTGGCTTCAGGGACACTGCAGGGGGGGTGACAGGAAGTGGGCCCGAGGCAGGCTGGGAGCCAGCACGCCGGGCCAGGCCGGGCCCCACGGAGCATGTGGAATCTGCACCCCAGAGCTCGGGCCGCCCAGGCCTGCAGCAGTGATGTGACAGGGATAGCGTGTGCCACCTCGAGTGTACTTCCCTGGCAGCCTGGGCCGCCCTGCACAGGGCCTTGCTGTGCATAGACGGGGACCCCCGTGCCCCACCCTGCTGCCCGGGCACTCGGGGTACCCCTCCAACTCTGTTTTTATCTCCTCAGCACAGAGGGGGGAACCCTGGGCCTCCCTGAGCTAGCTCGATCCCAGCCCTTTTTCATTTTTAGTGAGACAGGGTCTCACTAAGTGCCCAAGCTGGGTTCAGACTTGCAGTCCTCCTGCCTCAGCCTCCCACAGTCCTGGGACCCTACGAATGCACCACTGCGCCCACCTTCCAGTGGTCACCTCTGCCCATTCCCGTCGCCCCTCGCACCTCAGTGCACACCATCACTTAAGTGCACAGGCACCTGTTTCTTCGCCGAGGCCGCCACTCAGGGTGCACGCCCAGCTCCCAGACCACGTGCATGTGGGAGGGAAGGCACTGGGGCAGCGCTGGGCAGAGCTGAATGGGGCCATTAAGTATTTAGAGCGTTGGGGACACAGAAGGAAGCCAGTTGTGCAGACTGCGACCTGAGCACCCTCATTAGAGTTCATCTGCTGTTTCCCCTCACCTGGTCGTACCCTGTTGGAGGGGACAGGACAGGGACCCGGTCTGGGGGTGTCTCACCCTGGGGCAGGCTGCACGGCCCCAGTAGGTCCTGGCCCTTGCTGTCCCATCCCCTGAAGCCTTACCCCAGTTGTCTCTGCACCTGGCTACAACCTCCCATCAAGATGCCATCCTTATCCCTATTCTGTGGCCTGGAACCGAGGCTCGGATTCAGGCCCTGTGGGGCGGTGCAGCGGCCCCAGGCCCAGTACCCGTATCCTCCACTGGCACCCAGGTACCCATGCCCTCCCCCTCCCGAGCCAGGGCTGCCCTGAGGCTTTTCCACTTTGAGTCAGCAGAAATTCTCACTGGTTTGGTGGCATGCACCTGTCGTCCCAGCTACTCGGGAGGCTGAGGCAGGAGGGTCAAAATTTCAATCTCAGCCCAGGCAATTTATCAAGACTCTGCCTCAAAATAAAACACAGAAAGAGCTGGGGGTATAGCTCAGGGCTCCCTGAGTTCAACCTCAGTACCTCAAAAGACAATTGAAACTCCAGCCCAGCCATCAGGCCACCGTGTCTCAGTGCCCTTCGGCCTCTGTGGCCGCCTTTGCAGTTACCGCTGCTATCAGCAAGGCCCAGCCCCTTGGGCACAGAAAGCCTGGCTTTGGCCCCATCAGTGGGGCAGTGTCCCCACCTGGGGACCAGAAGGCTGGTGGTCACCTGCAGCCCGAGGGCGTTTCCAGGAGGGCCCAGGAATTGGTGACTGTCCCCGCTGCCTCTGCTCCCCAGTCCCCAGGTGGCCCTTCCTGCCTGCCCGTCAGAGCCGGGACCCGGGCTGGGAGCCACAGTGCTTGTCCTGGTATCCCTGGCACGGCCTCACACATTCCTCGAGGCGCTGACACAGGGCTCCTAACAGGATCTCACCTTTCAGGGTCAGGCCCCTGCCCTGTCTGCCTCAGTTTCCCCCTCTAGTACGTGGGGATCTGTGCCCTTCTCCCCTGCCATGGGCACGGACTGGCCCGGCCACACTGTTCTCGGAACCAGGACCCAGGGGCTCTCCTGCTTGCTTCCACACATCGTTAGGGACTCGGAGTGGGCCTACTCCGGGGGCCGGAGAGAGGCACGTGGCACTGGGAGCAGGGTGTCCGAGGCACAGGTCCCTGTCCTGCTGTTCACTGTCACGTGACTACAGACACACACACACACACACACACACACACACACACACACCCCGCGGCCTGGGGTGCTCACCTGCAGTGGGATCCTCACTCGGGGACCCGCCTGTGGGGCCCAAGTGGCGTGACCTGCTGCAGGCACCTGACCTGAGGAGGTGACACCTGCCAGGCTTGGGCCACGATGTGGGGTGGGGACACGGAAGGACTGATGGCGGCAGGACCAGGGGACACGGGGCAGGGGTGGCAGGACCTCGAGGGCCACCGGGCACCTGGCCAGCGTGCTGTCATCCCCCTGTGCCCTCGGGAGCTGTGTCCTGTCACGAGCCATGTCCCTGTGTCTCGCACAGGGCATCATGCTGGTCTACGACATCACCAATGAGAAGTCCTTTGACAACATCCGGAACTGGATCCGGAACATCGAGGAGGTGAGGCTGCCCTGCACCACTCCCCCTGTCCTCAGGCGCCAGGGCACAGGGACACCAGAAGTGGCAGGCAGGGGTGCAGTGGCTGCAGGGCCCAGAGCCCCGGGAAGGAGAGGCCTCTAGTGAGAAGGCTGTGGAAGCAGCGCACCCCCTCTGCAGGCTGGGGCGGGAAGGCGCTTCCGCCTGGAATTGAGCCACAGCGGGCAGGGCGAGACCCGGCAGGAGCCGCCATGGAGGGACAGCAGGGCAGCCGGCTCCACTGCACCCCGAAATGCCAGCCTCACCCCGGCTTCCTGGACTTTGGTGCCGGATAGGTGGGGCCTTGGGAACCACCTCACTGCCTTCTCGGGCCTCCCTGCGGGCGGTGGTAGTGGCCAGTGGCGGGCTCCAGCCTGGCCAGGAGCCACCTGGTCACGGGGGCAGGTGCCACCCTGGCCGGTGGGCAGGGCTCTGGTGACCGGGACGAGAACTGAGCTGGGGAGAGCGCGGTGCCTGCTGTGGCCCCACCTGGGGCTGAGGGAGGTGACGGGAGCCCCAGGTGGCGCGAGGCACAGGATCGCAGCGTTTGCAGACCCCACGGGGACACCGCCCAGGCTGCTGGTGCAGCTTCAGATTCTGCCCGCGGCGGAGGTAGAAAGGCTTCGGGAAGTGGGCGCCAGTGCCCAGTGCGGTGCCTGGCCGCACGCTGAGTCCACGCCTCCTCCCTGCGCAGCACGCCTCGGCCGACGTGGAGAAGATGATCCTGGGGAACAAGTGCGATGTGAACGACAAGAGACAAGTGTCCAGGGAGCGGGGAGAGAAGGTGGGCGCGGGGCGGAGCCACGGGGTCCTCCACGACCTTTTCTCTTGCCGGTACTGGGGCTGGAACCCAGGGCCTCGCTTAGCTGCCCAGGCTGGGCTGACGGGCTGCGTCCCCTCTGTCCTGGCCCCGCCCCGCCGGGCACCGCACATGCGCACGGCAGTTCATTGCGTCCCCTCGGGTCTCCCCTTGCAGCTGGCGCTCGACTATGGGATCAAGTTCATGGAGACCAGTGCCAAGGCCAACATCAACGTGGAGAATGTGAGTCAGGCCCGGCCATGGTGCTGTGCTTCACCCCCGCCAGCACAGGGCGCAGCTTGGGGAAACAGGCTGGGGGCCCCGAGTCACCCTATCCTCCCCACGAAGGAGCCCGCCCTGGGGCTCCCCAGGACCCCGAGCTCCACTGCAGATCCTCCCACGCCAGGGCCTCTGTACGGGCCCCTTCTCTGCTCACAGACCAGGGCTGAGGGACAGTGCGGCCGGGGAGCGGCCGTCTGGGGGTCATTGCCCGCCCCATCCCGGGGGAGGGGCCCAGGGGCGGGTGGGGCAGGCAGGAAGCCCGCGTGTCTGAACGGGGTTCCCAGCCACCGAGGGCCGCGTCCCCTCCTGAGGGCCGGGCTGGATCCTGTCACCCAGGGGCCGTGACATCGAGCTCTTCCCACAGGCGTTTTTCACTCTCGCCAGAGACATCAAGGCAAAAATGGACAAAAAATTGGTGAGTGTGAGCCCTTCCGGCCTGCATAAGGCTGCGGGCCTGGCATTCTCCCTCGCCAGGCTGCTGTGTTGCTGGGAGGGCACCAGGGACAGGGGGAGCAGAGGGAGCGGGTCAGCTCGGTTGCACATCAGAGTGCAACCTCACAGTGACACGGCGCGGGCATCCCAGGCGGCACAGCGAGCGGGCTCTTCCGCCCCTTAGAGAACACATCAGCTGGCCACCCCTTGACTGCATCTGACCCCAGTCCCCTCCCAGAGCCCAGCTGCAAAGCACCACTGACAGCCGGGGCTGGTGGGTGCACAGCTGTCCTCCCAGCACTCGGGAGACTGAGGCAGGAAAACTCGCCGGGAGTTCCAGGCCACCGTGGACTGCACAGTGAGACCCTGACTCAAAAAAAAACAAAACCCACAAAGCATTAATATACAACTTTAGGGAGGGCGTTTCCAGCACGTGAGCTCCTCGGGCCCCTGCCACCATGTGTATGGGAGGACAGCTTCCTCCATCCACCATGTGGCCTTGCTGTCCTCAGGGCTCAGGGCTGCTGCTAAGCATCGTCTTCCTCCTTATCTTTTTTTCTAGTGTGGGGACTGAACTCAGGGCCTTTGTACTGACTCCCATCCCCAGCCCTTTTATTTTTGGTACCAGGGATCGAACTCGGGTCCTTGTGCTTGTGAGGCAAGCGGTAGAACCACTGAGCTAAACCCCCGGCCTCCCCAGCCCTTTTAGAACTTTTTGTTTTGAGACAGCGTCTCTCCGGGTCACTAAGTGGCCCAGGCTGGGCCTGAACTTGGGACCCTCCCGCCTCAGCCTCCCGGAGTGCTGGGATGACAGGCGTGTGCCCCACCCCCAGCCTCGCCACTGCCGTAGGCATCAAAGTCAGTAACGGCCACAGCTCGAGTCTGCAGCGTGGCCCTCGGTGGGTCCCGGGCTCTCCAAGGCCTCCAGGTCTCCAGGAAGCCCTCGCCACCCGCCCTGGGTCTGTGGACTGCACGGTCCAGTTCACAGCCCTGGGCCCCGGGCAGGAGTGCTGTGTCCTTGACGGGCCCTCCCGTGTCCCTTGGGGACATGGCCTGGCACCGAGGGCCTGTCCCCCTGCCCTGCTCAGCAGGGCGCTCACCTGCAGCCCCTGGCTTTCCTCTCGGGATGTCCATGCCCGCTGCTGGGTTATTTTAAATCTGGTCACCGAGAAGGCTCAGGAAATAGCAAGCACTACTCAGATAGTGCACGTCCGCCTGAAAGCAGTGCTCTCCTCGTTCTGGGGCTGGGGCAGGGGGAGTGGCGGAGTCAGGCTTGTGACAGCAGCTCTGCCCTGCGGCTGTGCAGTTTCCTCAGCTGATTCCCCATGGAAGACAAGGACCAGACCTCCCAGCCTTCTTGCCCGCTCTGCCTGTGTTCCCAGCGCCGGGCCTGGAGAGGCCTGGCCTCGTGGAATGTGCTCTGTGAGGGCCACAGGCAGCCCCAGCCCTGGTGCCTCTCTTCCTGGTCTCTGCCCGGGGCTGTGGCCCGAGTGCCGCCCCATCTGCCTCTCGAGGCACCGAGTGCCAGCACAGGCCCAACCCGGGACAGCGGAGGGAGGGTGCTGGCCCGGGAGAATTGGCAGCGGGACACGGTCTCTGCCCCTCGATGGGGGTGGGGCTGAGTGACAGAGGATGTGGGAGCCAGAAGGGCATGGGGCACTGCAGCGAGTGAGCAGAAGGATGCCTGGCTGGAAGGGGTGGCGGGAAGTAGATCGGGCTTTGTGAAGATGAGTTGTCGTTTGGAAGACGATGGGGTGGTGGGTGGAAGGGGGTGGATAAGCAGATGGTTGCTTAAGGCGCTGAGTAGGTGGACGAATGCATGGAAGAGGATGGGTAGGTAGATGGTGGGTAGGTGGGCGGACGGATGACGCATGGAGGGTGAGGTGCTGACAGATTGATGGTCGGTTGTGCGGGAAGGGAGGGGTGGGTGGATGGTCAGTTGGCATCTCGCTGTTGCTCCGTGGTAACCCAAGAAAATCCCTTGTGCCTTCAGGAAGGCAACAGCCCGCAGGGAAGCAGCCAGGGAATGAAGATCACGCCGGACCAGCAGAAGCGGAGCAGCTTCTTCCGCTGCATGCTCCTGTGAGCGCATACTCCGCCTTACTCCGCCCGGCTCGCGGAGCTGACTGTGCCTGTCGGGGCCTGCGCCCAGCGGGGACCCTCAAGTGCCACCCGGCCCTGGCCCACGGCCGCCAGACCTCCACTGAGAAATTGTCTATTTTAGTAACCGTCTAATCTTTTTCAACTTGGAGATGGAAAGAGTTAAGAATCTGCTATTTTTCCTGTAACGCCCGCCACACCGGTCCACGGAACAGCGTCGAGTGGGCAGAGAGCATGGGGCGGAGGGTGACAGCAGCGCCCCTGGCAGCCGTAGTGGCGAGGCCAGCCGTCGCCAGGCCCGGGAGGCGTTGCTAAGCCTCGGTTTTGGACAGTGATACAAAGCATTCCTCCCCCCTTCTTAACTTTAAACCAAAGGGAAGCACAAATAAAGACATCTGTGCACCGTGGTTCGGAGGACAGGCCCAGGGGCCTCCCACTGTCGCTGCGTGGGCACCAAGGGAACGCCGGCCTGCACAGGATCGGGGTGCCCTGTCCCCCGCCACCTCCAAACGGGACCTTCTTTCTAGCCGAGAGTTTATTTTTCCAGAGTCACAGTGCCAGCAAGCAATGCCATACCCGCTGTCGACCCAGTAGCAGAGCCAGCTGTCCGGCTGCACACCCCTGCCTGACAGCATCCCGTGCTGTCCCCACTCAGGGCTGGGAGCCCACAGCTCCACGCAGTGCTGCAGGAGCGACTGCAGCTCAGACCAGGACCAGGCCGGGGCGTCGCCCAGCACCCACTCTGTCTGTCTGTCGAGTCCCCCTGTCTGTCATCCCTCGTTTCCCAGCCGAAGGACTCCCGCATAGTCTGCCCCGTGTCTTAACTTGCCCTGTCTGTGCCCAGACCTGCACCTGCAGAGCAGAAGATTAAAGCCCATTTACAGTTCACAGATCTGGATGTCCACGTTCTGCCCCAATGCCAGGGGACCGAGTGTCAGCAGGTGGGTGCCTGCCTGTCCTCCACTCAGGAGGCTGAGGCAGGAGGGTTGCCACAAGTTCAAGGCCAGCCTGGGCTACATAGGGAGAACCTGTCTCACAAAGACAATTCATAAAGACACCTTTCCTGCCACATGCAGTGGCAGATGTCTGTAAATCACAGCTGTTCTGGAGGCTGAGGCAGGAGGGTCACAAGTTGAAACACAGTCTGAACAACTTGGCAGTATAGTGAGACCCTGTCTCAAAATTTTAGGAAAGATCTGGGGATGGAGGTCAGGGTGGCGCACCCCTGGGTTCCCTCCCCAGTGCCAAAGGGGAGAGTGGAGAGCTAGGCATGATGGCGCCCCTACACTCCCAGGTGCTCAGGCCAAGCCAGAGACGGCTGGGAGTTAGGGCCCAGCCTGGGCAACACAGTGAGATCCTTGCTCAAAAAATGCAAACTGGTGTGTGTGCCTGTAGTCCCAGCACTCAGAGGCTGAGCAGAAAGCTCAGGCCCAGCCTGGGTAATTCAGCGAGACCCAGTCTCAGAATAAAAGATGAATAGGACGGGAAGAGAGTGGGGTGTGGCCCTGGGTTCCACCCCAGCGCTGACAGTTGGAGGTGGAGAGACGCTGTCGTGGGTCTCAGCTCCGCCCCACACAGGGAGCCTGGTACCCGTGAGGCGCAGCTCCCATCCCCTCCACGCCACCGGGCCCTCTGCTCCGGCCGATGACATCACACAGCCATGCTGGGCACCCGGTCCCCTCTGCCCCATCTGGAACACAGCGGCCCTCCACTGCCTCACCCTGCGGACCCCAGGACAGGCTTCCTGGTCGCCAGGACCACCACGCAGCTGTGCTGCATTGGCCTTGTTCTTGTGGCCAGAATGAAACCCTGTGGGCAGAACAGGAAGAAGAAAGACTTCAGCCAGGCATGGTGCCCCACACCGTGATCCCAGTACCCCAGAGGCTGAGGCAGGCCAACCTGGGCTACAGAGCAAGACCCTGTCTCAAAAACAACTGAGGTAAAGGGAGGAGGGAGGAAGGGGCGGGGTAGGTTTCTCTGGGCTTGCAGCACGGGGCTGAAGGCTGAGGACCAGGTGGCCACGTGGTGCAGGAAGAAGCTGCCGAGGCCACCACCGTAGACACCTGCTCTCGCCCTGAACTGCCAGGTCAGGAAGGGAGCGGCCAGCCGGGTGCCCACCATGCCTGGCACTGCTCAGAGCTCCACAGGCTGGGGTGGGGGTGCTGCCCTGGCACAGACCTGGTTCCCACGCCCCGCCCCCCGAGCCTCGGGCCTGTACTGAGGGACAGTCACGGCTTCCAGGCAGGGAAAGGCACTGCAAGCAGCAGACCAGGGCTTCTGGCTCCAAGCTACCGAGAGATGCACGCTCCTGGGCCTAATGACCTCCCCAAGTCCCCAAACCATCAGACATCGGAACTATCCTGAGTCAAAAGCGCACCGAAGCCCGGCACGGTGACGCACACCTGTCATCTCAGCACTCGGGTGGCTGAGGCAGGAGGATCTCTTCAAGTTCAAGGCTAGCCTGGAATACACAGCAAGTCTCAAAGCACAAACATCTACTGGACCCTCAAGTTACAACCACCCTGACATACAAACAACTTGGGTTACAACCGGAATTTTAGTTTTAATCTATGACCAAAGTCTTGAGTTACAATCCAAATGCTGGCTGCTTGTGCTTCCAGATGGTCCCAGATACAGATTTAGCCCTTAAAGCTGGGCGAGGTGGCATATGCCTGTAATCCCAGCACACAGGAGGATTGCCACAAGTTCAAGGCCACCCTAGGCTACATCGAGAGTTCAGGACCAGCCTGAGCTACAAAGGAGTACCCTGCCTAAAAGAAAAAAAAAGATTTAACCCTTACAGAGTTCTGGAAAGAGCATTACAGCATCCTCTCCTGTGTGGGGTTGACAGAGAAACCCTGGGCCAGTGTCTAAGGACACTGAGATCTGCCTGCGTACAGGAGAGAGATGCTGAGGGCCGTGTAGAGGAGCCTCAGCCTCCACTGACCAACTTGAGTCTCAATCAGCCCTTACAAATGAATTGACTTCACAAGTCAAGGGTCCACTGTGCAAATAAACAGTAGAATCCACCTAAACTGACATCACAATTTAGCATAGCCGAACTTTTTTCTTGTTTGGTTGGTTTTGTTTTTGAGACAGGGTCTTGCTATGTAGCTCAGGCTGGCCTTGAACTTATGTGGATCCTCCTGCCTCAGCCTCCCAAGTGCTGGGATTACAGGCACGCATCACCATCCTCGGCTTCAATTTTTATTTTTATTAGCACGCATTTCAGTACATAATAATCACATTCCTCATGGAGAGTGGGATGTACAGAACACATCTGATTCTTAATTTTTTCATTCCCTCTTCACCTCTCCCTCGGTCTCCTGGTCCGTTTCCCATTTAGAAAGATCTGTCTCCCTGATTCCTATTGTCTATCTTTTATTTTGCTCTTTATTTATACTTAGGGTTGTCTTTTTAAGCTGTGCATCTGATTCATTTCACTTAACATCACGGTCTCTGGCGCACCCAGTTCTACATGGCTCAAGTCCGTCCTCTTTGCAGCAGGGCACTGCCCCCTGCGAAATGCCACAGCGGTGTAGCCGCGCTCCATCCTGGGCGTCCAGAACGCCTCTGCGGGCCTCGATGGGGCACAGACACTAACGCAGGCCTGGCTGCCCCGACAAGCCGAGCTCCTAGAGGGACGCGTTGTGAGGTCCCTTCTCAGCCAGGAGCCGGGGCTCCTGTGGGCTGGGGCCTCACCGCTGTCCCAGTTCCCTCCCTGCTGCCCCTGGACTGTGCTGTCCTGGCCGGCAGGGAGGTAGCTCTGTCGCCAGTGTCCCCTGGGTGAGAGCGCTGAGTCCTCAGTGACGGCTTCACTGAGATGTGAGTCGCACGCCCTCGGGTCACCCTTGGAAACAGCTGCTTTATCACCGGTCCCCTGGGAACAGTCCCTCCCCAGACCCACCCTTAGGCACGCGCTGTCTCCTGTCCCTGTGGATGCACATGGGCTCTGGGTATTTCACAACAGCGGTCACCCAGGGTGTGGCCTTCATGTCACTTGATGTCATGGCACCAAGGTTCCTCCACACCGTACCTTGTGTCAGTGCTTTGTTCCTTTTCTTGGCTGAATAATACTCTACTGTGCAGTTGGGCGTCGTAGTGTACACTTGTCACTCAGAGGTGGCTGAGGCAGGAGGTTCGACACAAGTTTAAGGCCAGCCTGGACTGCATAGTGAGTTCAAGGCCAGCCTGAGCTGCATGCCACTAGGTGGTGCTGTGGCTTGGGTATGGTGTTCGTGGGTCCCCAAAGGCTCCTGTGTTGAGACTTGGTCCCCCTGTGGTGTGCGAGGTAGCCATGGAAGAAGAGGCCCTGCAGGTGTGAGCAGTCCCGTGTGGATCAGTGCTGGTCCCGGGGCACTTGTCCTGGAGTGAGGCTCCCCGGCCTGAGGGACACCTGGTGGTGGTACGGGCACGCCCAACACCTTCCCCTTCCCCAGACAGCTCCCGCCCACCATCCCAGGCAGGACAGGCCAGCCTCCTTCCCACAGGCCCACTCGGGGCTGCAAGGCCTCCAGGGACCCGACCTGTCCCCGCCTGGCTGGCATCAGGCAGCGTATCCCCGGCACCCCATTCCCCACCCGCACCCCGGCAGCGTCCTTCCTCTGCAGCTGTGGTGGGGACAGGAGGGGCAGGGACTGGCGCCCCTTTCTGGGAAGTGGACCTGAGCATGGGAGCCCCAGCCCCCAGGGCTGGGCAGCCAGGCCGAGCTGCAGTTCCCAGGACTCAGCCCCGCAGGCAGCCACCCCCCTCCCTGGTAGACTTCCTCCCCACGGCATCGGGAGCCTGGGGCCTGTGCTGGGTGGGGCGTCCCTCCTGTTGGCCTGGTTTTTCCTTTGTGCAGCACTGGGCACTGAACCCAGCACCTTCACTTTGAGCTATGTCCCAACCCTTTGTATTTTTTATTTAAGGCGGTTTTGCTAAATCCCTAAATTGCTGACGCTTGCGACCCCCATGCCTCAGCCTCCCAGAATGCTGGGGTCACAGTTGTGCACCCCTGTGCCTACTTCCTGTTGTCGCAGGGGACAAAGAAATGTGCTATCCTGCCCAAGCCAGGAGGGGGAAGTGAGGCCCAGAGACGCAGAGCAGCTCCTGCGAGGCCACCCAGCCGGGTCTGCCCGTCCCTTGCTTGGGTCCCGTGGATGCACGGCCCTTCCCCCCGTGGGGCGCAGCTGGGTGTGACAGACAGGGTGTGGCCGCCACAGGAAGCCGCCTGCAGCCCTGGCCCTGCACCACCTCGGCCGAGGGGCCAGGGCCCCACACTTCCGTCAGTTAGAATGGGAAGAAAAGGGGACCAGACCACGCAGCTGCCAGTCTTGGTGCTGCCCGACGGGTGCTGGCATCAGAGCACACTGCAGGCGCCAGGCCCACGGCCCACCCCAACCATGGGTGCCCACCCGCCCTCGGTGGCCCGGCCACTTATGGGCATCTCAAGACAGCCACCCCTCCCAGCAGCCGCTCAGGTGCCACAGGTGCCTTTCCTGACTTCTTGGTCCTCTCTGTTGCCGGATGGGGCGAGGACATGGGGCTGCGTGCCCCTGACTCGGGCCCAGAGCCCTGGGCTGGCTCGCGGCAGACTGCTGCTGCAGGCTGTCCTGGTGTCTCCGCATCACAGGCAGGTGGCTCTCTCAGCCCCGCGGCTGCAATTGGCCGTCACTGCTCAAACCAGGAACAGTGGGGGACAGCACCGCCCCAAGACAGTGACGTGCAGACCCTGAAGAGAAACTCGCACCTGCAGCACAGCCAGCACCCTGGCCCCGGGCCCCGGGGACGTGTCCCCAGGTACGTGTCCCCCTGACATGGCCCCGGAGCCCCAGCCTGGCCAGATAGGCAGGCCTGGGCCACGAGGGCGCAGGGGCCAGGTGGGGAGGAGCCTGGGGTCCCAGGGGAGGGGACCCTGGCAGGTAGGGCTGCTGGGCTTGCAGGGGCAGCGTCTGCACAGCGTATGAGAGGCCTGGGTTCTCCAGCTCCACGAGGGATCAAAATCTAAAAATTAAATCTAAAAACAAGAAAACAGCTCTGCAGGGACAGGGCACCCAGGTGGGTGGAGGAAGCACTGCGAAGGTGCAGGAACACAGCTGGGTCAGGCCGGGCTGGGGGATCGGGCCAGGGCGGGGGCCAGAAGGTGGTGAGTCCCTTCCTCCTTACCCTTGCTCGGTACTCACCCCTAGTTACCAGTTGCTAGTTACCCATCGCTAGTTACCTGTAATTAGTTACTGGTTGCTAGTTACCATTGCTATTTACCCCAAAGTTATCCACCTAGTTTACCCCTTGCAATTACCCGCTGCTAGTTACCCATCAATGGTTATACGCCCTTCCAACTTCCTCCAGGCCCAGCCAAGCCCAGGAATCCAGGATCAGGGTGGGGGCCCAGCAAGCCCTCTGTGGTGGAGACAGCAAAGACACCCCATTTCCACGGGGTCATGGCTGGGCCGGGGGGGCAACCGTGGGACAATGAGGGATGGGGAAAGTGCCAGGGCTTCATCTGGGGAAGTGGTGGACAGGCTGCCTGGAGGGGGGCACATTTGTACTGAGTTTTAAAGGGTCTGTAGGAGTTTTCCAAGGTGGGAAAAAGAATAAGCTTAGAAACAAGCCAAGCCAGTCATGACTAGGGTTCCTGTAAACTGAACAGTCAGACGTGGCTATAGAGAGGTGTGTCATTGAGGCCCGGGTATACGGTCTGAGAAATGTCGCCAGGCGACTGTCACCGTGCCAGTGTGGTAGCAGGCATTTGCACACACTGAGGTGAGCCAGCCAGCTCCGCGGCCCAGCTGTCGCTTCCAGGCTCCGGGCCTGCCCGGTGCGTTGGTGCCACAGGCGCTGGGGTGCCACTGCACTGAACGCTGGCCCTGAGTTCATCCCAGCACCCGCTGCCAAACAACGAAAACAGAAACCCTTCCCGGTGACATGACTGGGCCCAAACTGCAGCCAAACTCTAGGCATCGGAACAGGCCCCAGGGCAGCCCCGGCCACCTGCCCTGGGCCGGGTCCTGGTGGGGACAGCACCTGCTGGTGTCAGGGGACAGGTCCTGTCTGCTTCAGGATTCCTGCAGCGCAGGCCCTGCCCCCTGCTCCCCTGATGCAGGAAGGCAGTGCTGACCACGGGGACCCTGTGAAGGTCTGGGGGGATGCGGCTGGGTGGGCTGGGCACAGGGCCCCTGCGGGGTCAGAGCCAAGGGTGGCACCAGGTCCGCAGGGCACTGTCTTGTGTCTGGGTTGGCATCACGTCAGCACTGCTCACAGTTACTGTGCTTTCTTGTCCCCAGCCCCATCACTGGTCACACAGCCCAGCCTCAGCTGGAGCTGAAAGCACTCTGGGAGGCTGAGGCAGGAGGATGCAAGCTCCCGCCCAGCCCAGGGGACTTGGCCACCTAGTGAGACCCTGTCTCCGAATAGAAAGGGAAAGGGCTGGGGTGGAGCTCAGGGCCAAGGCCCCAGGCTGCAGCCCAGGGCTGCACAGAAGAGTAAGGGGGGCCTCCGGCCATGCCTGCCTCCCTCCCTGCCTCCCCAGTGCCCTCGCTCCCTGGAAGCCATGGCAGGGCCTGAGAGGCTGCCCCCGCCACTGCCTCCTCGCCTGGACTGGTTTGTGCAGACCCAGATGGGCCAGCTCGCCCAGGATGGCGTCCCCGAGTGGTTCCACGGCGCCATCTCCCGAGGGTGAGGAGCCTGAGCCCCCCGCAGCCGTGCTCGGCTCTGAGTGAGAGCGCTCTGCCCCGCCCTGACTTCCTCTCTGTGGGCTGCTGTGCAGCCTTGTGCAAGCTACTTCCCCTCCTCTCTGGGCCTCTTTGTTTTCCCCTTGCAGTCTGGGACTGGAACCCAGGGCCTCACACATGTTGGGCAAGCAGTTACCGCTGAACTGCATCCGGGCCTTTGTATTTTTTATTTTGAGACAGAATCTTACTAAAATGCCCAGGCTGGCAGTGAATCTGCAGTCCCCCTGCCTCAGCCTCCAGAACAGCTGGGACTGCCAGTGTGCGTCACCATGCCAGGCCTAAAGGCTCATGTTTCAGCACATTCTGTGTGCAGGAAATGGAGAGAATGCTGTGAAGCCCACAAAGAGGGACACTGGGCATGATTTCCAAGCTCAGGCTTGAGCCACGTGTTGCGATTTTAAATATCCCAGTAGCTACGCCTCAGAAGTACGAGGCCCAGACATGGTGGAGTGTGCCCATAATCCAGCTCCATGGGAGGCTGAGGCAGGAGGGTCCCAAGTTCAAGTCCAGCCTGAGACATGTGATGACTTGGTGAGACCCTGTCTCAGAACAAGAGAAAGGGCTGGGGATTCGGCTCGGTGTGAAGGCCCGGGTTCCACCCCAGCTCTGCCCCAGAAGAAATAACTGGCAGCATTTGGGGAGCCCCTGGAAGTAGCAGACCCCGGAAAGACATGACCTGCCCTAGGGGGTGCTGGGGACCTGAGAGAGACAGAAGACACCTACCTGCGGCCGGCAGCAAAGCAGCCAAGGGTGGTGTTTGGGCCCGAAGGCGTCCAAGGGCCCCATCTGCAGGGACACTGCTTCCCTGAGCACCCCAAGGTCTCACAGCCAAGAAAGGCTGGCTTTAGACTGTCTGCTTAGCGCAGGAAGCCTGGGCTCCCGGCCTCCAGCCTGGGCTCTCTGGCCGGCCCGAGCTGGAGATGGGCGTGGGGCAGCAGGGCCGTGGCCTGCCTTTCCAGGGATGCCGAGAACTTGCTGGAGTCGCAGCCACCGGGATCCTTCCTCATCCGGGTTAGCCACAGCCACGTGGGCTACACCTTATCCTACAGGTGGGGCTGGGGTGCTTGGCGCCAGGACTCCCAGCGGGGCACAGGCTGCGGGTTGGGAGTGGCTCCAGGTCCGGCAGAAACCCAGCCTGGGTTCACGGGGTCGAGGCCCACAGAGGAGGCTGTTAATCCAGTCCCCGTGCGGGGTTAAACAGAGTGGGCCATCAACAAACACTTTTGCCGATGAACCCAGCAGCTGTGGAGCAGCTGCTGTGTGCCGGGCACTCAGCCTAGGCCGAAAACTTTCCTCGGCCCCATTCCTGTCGCTCATTTCCCAGAGCCAGGCTGAGCCCCATCGCCCTCCCCAGAACTCCGAGGCCAGCTCTGGTGGGGAAACCGAGGCAGGGAAGCCCTGGGCTGTGGGAAGGAGGGCAGGAGGCCACACGCTCCCTTCGTGTGTCGCAGGGTGCAGGGCCGCTGCCACCACGCTATGGTGACTCTGCAGGACGACGGCCGCCTGGTGCTGCTGGGGGACGACGCGGTCCACGCCTCGCTGTGCGCCCTGGTGGCCTTCTACCAGCGCAGGCCCCTGCGGCCGCACGGGCAGCTGCTCACGCAGGGCTGCGGGCAGGTGAGCTGGGTCCGGCCCTGATGCCACGCGGGGCTGCCCCACCCTCAGCCGGGAGGCTCTGTCCTCGGCTGACCTCAGACAGGGCTCAGCGCGCACCCCTTGGCTGAGCTGCCGGGCTGGGAACGTCCTTATAAAGCCGGTGGGCGGGGCCTGGGCCCGGCCGACACAGTGTGGGTGGGGCCAGCTTCCTAATTAGGCGAGTGGGCGGGGCCTGGGTTGCCTCGGCGCTGCCCTAGAACCTGAACTGTGTTTCCGGGCGCAGAAGGATCCGGCCACCGTGGACTACGAGGACCTCCTGCGCTACGCTGCCGCCCTGGCCCAGGACACCACCAGCCCAGAGCCCAGCCCTGAAGAGCATGAAGGGCCCTGCTCATGCCCAGAGGTACAGGGGGCTGCCACCTCCATGTGGCAAGGGGGCACAGGGCTGACCCTGCTGCCAGAGGAGCTCCTTCCAGGGAGAGTTAGGACCCAGTGCTGGGGGCTTAAAGCCTTCCAGTGACATCTGACTCAGGGCCACCACCAAACTGCACTCTCAGCCCCTCCCTTGCCCCTGCCCTGCCTGCTGTAGTTCAGGTCAGCAGCAAGCTCAGGACCTTTGCATATGCTATGTCACTGCCCCCAAGTTCCCTCACCTGGCTTCTGCTTCTAGTTAACCTTCTCCAATGTCTGGACTAAAGCAGCCCCACACCTGCCCTGTTTACCCCCGAAGGCAGCTCCTGGCAGATGGAAGGCTCCTGCTTACCCCTGGGTCTGTGTGTTTCCTGTTTGGTTGCCCATCAAATGGAGTTCTGCCATAGCCTAGGCAATCTGGCAGCTTAGTGACTTAGCAAGACCCTGTCTCAAAATAAAAAATGAAAAAATGCTGGGCATGCAGCTTACTGAGAAGGCCCTGGGTTCCAGCCCCAGGGCTACAATTAATTAATTAATTAGAATGAAAACTAGCACCTAAATTACATACAGTGCATGACCCTTGATGGCCATAATGAGCCACTGCTACACTGCGTGTCTCGTGGAGCTGCACCAGGCCATGAAGCTCTGTGGATCGTGTTCGGCTGACATCTGGGCCCAGCCCCTCACATATTCTGTGCTTTTCTCCCGAGCTTGCTTTAATCCCACGCATTGCTAGCTCACACTGAGGTCACAGGGTCGCCTAGCGACGCATCTCACATTGGATCCCAGGGCTGCAGGGACTGAGACAGGACTGAGCATCAACTCTGTGGCTGTCTGCTTTGGGTTTGGGGTTCCTGGCTTAGGTGGGGCTGGGGGGACCCAGGGCCAGCTCCAGCCACTGCACCAGGCAAGGCTGACCCAGGGACATGTGCCACAGTGCAGGCTGGGCCAGACAGAGCTGGGGACAGCTGGGAGGTGGCCCCAGCCGCCAGGCGTCACAGAGGGATGGGCCTGAGGGGTGGGCAGACTCAAGGCTGGGTGGGCACCTGGCCCAGGTGGCTCTTGCCTCCATTTCAGGGTCCTCCAAAGCCCGCCCTGCTCCACCAGCTGAAGGAAAAGGAGGTGTCTACAGAGGAAGTCCCCTCCTCCTGCTCTCCAAGGGTGCCTTTGCGGGGGGCTGGCCCAAAACTCTGGAAGAACCTCAGGGCGCTGCCCGAGACGGGCCGGAGGGTCCAACAGCAGCTGAAAGGCTGCCTCGCAGCTGTGAGCCTCGCGTCGCTCTGGGATGCACGGCCATCAGCGGTGACCCACAGCTCCAAGGCCAGGGCCCCTTTTGTGGCCACATCCCTGGAGAACCCCCCACAGCGCCAGGTCCTGAGCGACAGGGACACCGCCTCCAGGAAGGCCACCAGGCCTACCAGCTGGAGCGGGGCGACCCCAGGGGAGCGGGGCTGGCACCAGAAGGTCGTGAGGGCTCTGTCCTTCCAGCCATCCGAGCCGAAGCCGAGGGACTGGCTCCCCGAGGAGTACCTGCAGCCCCCACCCTTTGCACCCGGGTACTGCTAGGGGCTCACCAGCCGGGAGCCTGGAGGACTCTCACTGCCAGGTGGCCACGCCCCGCGCTTGCCCTGCAGGACCCAGGGATGGGGTGCAGGGCGTGGGGTCTGATCCCGCTGGGCTGGTGACCATCAGTGTCACAGCGGTGGGGGTCCGCTCCCTGCCCAGCCCAGCCCGGCCAGACCTTCCTTGTTGGCCACCACTGCCCTTGGTACCCACAGTTCTGAACTGTGGGTTCAACCGCCCTGCGTGGAAAACGGTCCCTGAAAACTTCGCACAGGCTGGGTGTGGCGGAGTGGGTCTGTTGCCCCAGCACTCTGAAGCAGGAGAATCTCCCAGAGTTCGAGGCCAGCCTGGACCACACAGCGGACCCTGCCCCAGAAAACCAAAAAATAAAACTAAAACCTTTGCGAGTGTGGACATGTGCAGACTTGTCTCCTCTTCGGGGTCCCCAGAGAAGACCAAGCGGCCCCTGGGACAGCAGGGACGTCGTGCCAGTGTTGGAGCCATCTGCTGGGGTGGAGGCCTGTGGGTCCCTCGAACTCGGGGGGTTCCAGAGCCTGCAGGTGCTGGCAGGACTTCTTCAGCCCTGAGCAAGCCGGCCGGGGCTCATCTCCAGGAGCAGGAGCAGAGACAGCTGGGCAGGAAGTGTGGCCACAGCGTAGGGCCACGGTGGCAGACCGGACTCAGAGCCGGGACTCACAGGGTCTGAGCTCTGTGCAAATCGCACCGCAGGGCCCAGGCTGGCAGGGCCCCTCCCCAGGAGGCCTCGGTCTGTAGACAGAGACCAGAGACGGCTCCGTGCTCAGCGGCACACTGCCAGCATCAGCTTCTTTGGGGGACTCAAGAAAGCCCCTCCCTTCCCTTTAAAAAAGAGCAGTTCCAAGTTCGATCCCCGGTACCAAAAAAAAAGAGCAGTTAAGGGTTGGGGACTTAGCTCAGTGGTTCCACTGCCTGCTGCCCAAGCTCAAGGACCCGAGTTTGATCCCTGGTCCCAAAAAAAAAAAAAAAAAGGAGCAGTTAAGCCAACACATCCTAACACTCGGGAGGCTGAGGCAGGAGGATCACTGTGAGTTCGAGGCCAGCCTAGGATACATAGGGAGACCCTGTCTCAAAAAGGTGGGGCTGAGGATGGAGCTCAGCATGGAAGCCCTCAGTTCAATGCCAAGTACTGGGGGGAAAAAGGGACCCCAGGGTGCATCTCTGTGTGGCCTTTGGCAAGTCCAGGCCTCTCTGGGCCTGTTCCTCACCCACACCACGGGGGACAGGCGGGCAGGCCCTCCCAAGGACCTGGCACACAGCAGGTGCTTAGCCAACTCGACTGGGCATCGGGCTGCTCGGGGCCACAGACACGCGTCCAGGCTGGGGACCCTGGCTGAGTCAGGCCCGCCAGGGGCTCGTGGTGTGGCCTGGGCCCCTCCAGGCCCCGGGGGACCGCCCCTCTCAGCCCTGCTGGGCGCCCAGCCGGAAGTGCAGGCCGCCTTTGAATGCCACTCCTGCCGCCTCCCCTCAGAGTTTCCCGGGACAGCGCCCATGGATCGGGACATTTCAGGCCCCCTGAAGGACTGGGGGGGCGACAGCCCCGGGGCGTGGGGGGGCAGCGCGCAGATCGCCGGCCCTGTCGCTGCCGCCCCAAGACCCAAAGGGGCACCATAGCCTTCGTCCTGAGCAGCGCACGCGGCCCAGAGAGGGCCCAGCCACCCCAGGTCACACAGAGGGGGAGAACAGCAGCTGGAACTCGGTGTCTTTATTCCCGTTCCCTCCCTGCGGGGTGTCGGTGACCCTGCCGCAGGCTCCTCCACCGGGCGGCCTCCTCAGATGCGGATGTGGAAGGTGCTGAAAACAGGAAGAGGGTCAGCGTCAACAGCAACAGCCAGCCGCGCCTGTCCCCACCGCCACCCTGACACCAGCGCTGCAACGCTGTGCCAACCAACTGCCTCGATGGGCGCGGAAACATGCTCTCCTATCATTGTCTCCATTCCTGGAAGCGGCTTCGTTCTTGTTTTTTTGTATTGGGATTGCACCCAGGGCCTTTGCACTGAGCTCCATCCGGCCCAAGTTTAGTTTGCTTTGTTTCGTTTGAGACAGGGTCTCTCACTAGTTGCCCAGGCTGCGCTCAAAGTTTCAGTCCTCCTGCCTGACCCTCCCAGACTCCTGGGATGACACATGTCACGCGCCTTGACTGGAACAGGCTTCTTCTTTTTTGTTTTTGTTTTTTGGTACTGAGGATTGAACTTGGGACCTTGCACTTGTGAGGCAGGCGTCGGAACCACTGAGCTAAATCCCCAGCCCGCCTGGGATATTATTCTTATTCTCAACCATGTGGAAATGTAAAAACCAATCTTGGCGCATGAAAAGTCCAGAAACGGGACAGATGTGGCCCACGGCTCATCCTTCCCCAACCCTGTGTTCGCTCACTGAACTCCCCTCTCAGCCCTCGAGCTGGGGTTCTCATTCCGCCCCAGGCTCCCAAGTCCAGTTGTACAGGGTGTTCACTGCAAAACTGTTCAGGCAGGGAGAACTGAAGTCCAGCCGTGTTGCTTGTGACCAGAGTGCCACACTCACTCACAAGAGCTGCCCATGTGGCTCCTAATTATCCCACTGAGACCGGGAAACTGAGAAAGTGTGCCGAGGTCACACACGAATCAGCACAGGGCTTTCCACAGGGTCCGGGAACCGGCTCTGCCGGGGCGGGGAGTGTCACCTGAGGAAGTCGGGGGCCCGCAGGATCATGTTCTGGAAGTCCTCCAGGGACAGCCGCCCGTCGTGGTCACCGTCCGCCTCGTCCAGCACCTTCTCGCACACCAGACTCACCTCCTCGGCGCTCAGCTCGCCCCTCGTCAGCCTGGTCACCGTCTGCTCCAGGTCCCAGGCACAGATGTAGTCGTCGTTGTTAAAGTCTGCGGGGCACACGGGTGGGGACGGCAGGTGGCCGCTGGGCTGGGCACCCGCAGGCACATCTTGGTGCCTTGTGACAGGAGGAAACTGAGGCTCTGGGAGCACCCAGGACCGCTGGGTAGATTTGGGTCTTGCTTTGGAATTGGGCAAGAACCAGCCGGGAAGCCATTCATTCATCCAAGTCACTCACTGAGAATGTATTATGAGACTGCTATCATGATAACTTTCGCTTATTTACTAAGAAAGTATTTATTTTCCCCCGGTACTGGGAATTGAACCTAAGGCCTTCACACTGAGCCACATTCCCAGCCCTTTATAATTTGTTTTTACTTTGGAACAGGGACTTGCCAAGCCACTAAATTGCCAAGGCTGGGCTGGAACTTTGGGTCTCCTTGCCTCAGCCTCTCAGAGTGCTGGGATTACAGGCCTGTGCCTGGATCAAGTATTACTTGAGTGCCTGCTGTGTGCCAGGCTCTGAGGTAACTTTTCATTCATGTCCTAAATCAGCATCTAGTGAACATCTACATGTGAGGCAGCACACATCCATGTTTGTCTTCCTTTGCTCCTGAGTATTTACTGGAGGTCTATGAGGCACCAGAAACTTTTCTTCTGCCCATGTATTCATTCAACAACTATTAGCTGAACACCTACTGCGTGTCAGGCACGAGAGATACAGGGTGAACAAAACAGATACTGGCACCACCTTGATCCCCCGGAAAGTGGGGCGTGAACAGATCGTGCCGGGGGGCGCTTGCCTCCCCCGCGCCTGGGTTCCGTCCTCAGCACTCCAAAACAAGACAAACAACAAAACTGAAGACACAAACAACCACAACAGTAGCTGGCAGATCAGGGACCAAGAGCACATGCAGCACAGCGTGGCGCCAGGAGCGAAGTGAGACGCAGGCAGGAAAAGGCAGCGCCGTTTCCCCATTACTTCCGGGGTCAGAGGCCAAGGGACAGGCAGCTCGGGCACCGCTGTGTGCGAGGCTCGAGACCCGGGAGCCCTCGGTGCTCGCCCGCCCCAGGCTTCTGCACACACCGTAAATTTTGAAAGCGTAGTAGGCCTTGAGGTCGCGCGGGGCCATCTCGCTCATCACGGAAAACATGTCCAGGAAGTTGTCCAGCGTCATGTGGCCGTCGCCATCCTCAGAGAAGACCTGGGCGATGCGCTGGCGGAAAGGGTTGTCCTAGAACAAGAAAGGCACAGGGGGTGTCTCCAGGGTCCGACTGGGATCAGTCGCCTGCCTACTCTGCTGGGACCTGGGGCCCTCTGCCAAGACAGCACTTCCAGAGACCCCACACCCCTCCGCTGCGACATACGGAGACCCCAGCCCAACACTGTGGGCTTGGTGGCCTGACATCACTTCTGGTCCAGAGCACCACGTGCCCCTGGGGAAGCCAATCAGAGCATTCCATTCATCTGCCAACCATGATTGGGTCTGGACTAGCCATGTGACTCCATTTGGCCAATCAAAGACTACCTGAGACAGGCACAAGGAGCTGAGAGTTTTTCTGAGCACGTGGTCAGACGCCCTGATTCCAGCGCTGTATACCTGGCACTAAGCCTGCACCTAGATTATTTTATTTTTCAGTACTGGAGGTTGAACTCAGAGCCTTTGCATTGAGTTACATCCCTGGTTCTGTATTTGAGATAGGGTTTGGCTAAGTCACTAAATTTCCCAAGCTGGGTTTGAATTCGCAGTCCCCCTGCCTCAGCCTTCCAGAGAGTTGAAATTAGAGTCATGCCACACCACATCCAGTTTGGAATAGTTTTTTTTTCAGATGATCCAACCCAGTAAGAACTACCTTTCACTCAGTACTTATTAAGCCCTTTACCTGTGTGGTTTCACCACATCCCCCCAGGACCCTGGGCTTTGACCCTATCTGCTATGTTGTAGCTGTGTGAGGTGAACAAGGGGGGGCTAACTTCTCTGACCTCCACTTTCTCATCTTTTGTAAATGGGGTTATGGTGGACTGCACCAGCAGTGCAGGATGCTGTGAGGGGCCTCTCGCCATGTCCCCTGGTCCCCGGCCGCACCTTTAGCTCTGGCATGCTGCCAATGAGCTGGTAGGGAACCTTCACTGCCGGGCAGCTGGTATAGTCCAGTGGCACGAGCTGGGGCGCCAGGTCCTGGTATCGGTAGAAGAGCCTGGTGGGGAGGGGATGTCAGGGAGGTTGGAGCCAGGGGAGCCAGGGGCTTGTCCCACCTGGCTCACCTGGCAGCTGCTCCGCCACACTGCTGAGGGCTGGGTCCCCGGGAGTTGCTGGCCCTGGGTCCTCAGCCAGCAGGGGATGGAATCAATGTGGGGCGCGTGCCCCAAGGCTGAGGAAGACCGTAGAGGGAAAGCAAGCCAGGGAGAAGGAAGGGTTTTCTGGAAGAAGGGTACTGACACTGCTCAGCAGGGTAAGTAGGAGCTTACCAGGGAGAGCGAGTTGGAAGAAAGGAGTGTGCTTGTGGCAGACTGTTTCACACCCAGCACTCAGACTCCTAGGTAATCTCTGCAGCTCCAGACAATGTTGTGTTGTCCCCTAGACCCTGCCTCCTGCATTCTTACACCTTCCTTCCCTCTCTGCAGCGGGACTACTGTCCTCCCAAGGGCCAGGGCACAGGCAAGCCGCCAGCCTGCAGGGTTTCAAAGGACACAGCATCGAACGCCACACACACCCTAGACTGAAAGGCCGGCTTTCCACCAGATGCCCCCACCTGGTGATGCTGTTCCTTTGTTGGCACAGGCTGCCCAGCTGAGCTGCCTCTTTGCTGACTCTGAGGACCCAAGGGGCCAGGGACTGTCTCCGAGGGGGCGGAACACTGGGTGATGGGTCCCTGGGAGGTGCTGCCCTCTGCCCACAGCCCTCCATGGCTTCCTGCGCCCTGGGAGGAAACCAGACCTCAATTCATCAGGAACCCAATGGTGGTGTCTGGAACTTAGTCCTGACCCCTCCACCCCTCTCGGAGTCCCCTCAAGGATTGGTGCCCCTCACATGCGCTCCTGTGTTGCTGTAGGCAAGTCCCCCTTGCCCTCTGAGCCTCATTATTCTGATGACCAGGAAGCTTGGGCCAGGCGAGATGCAAGCCGCAGCCTCCTTGGGACTCTGCACATCCGCCTGGGGTGTGAGGTCCACCTGGCTCTGACCCAGCCTCAGTTTCCTGGACAGTAATCTGATCGAAATGGCCAAGGTGACCCCATGGCTGTTCTGGCTGACAATGGGCCACCCAGTGAGACGTGTGCCCATCAATAATGGATGCCGTGTCCACACTCAGGGCCCAACCCTGCCCTCACGCCCAGCGGACCCCAAGCGGCTCGGGTTTCATGGCCGCTGGGCCATGGGTCAGGGCCTCTGGACAAAGCCCCGAGGCTGGTGATGACAGGGCACTCATCTGCGCCATCCCGCTGGGCTCAGGCCCAGCAGACTCGGGGCCACCTGCAGCCCAGGGCTGGCTACAGACTCTGCAGCAGTGCTGAGGTGCTGCCCCCTGTCCACAACCCTCCGTGGCCTCCTGCCACCCCAGGAGGAAGCCCAGCTCATTGGTGTGGACAGCAGCAACATGACCACATGTGGCTTTTGTTGTTGTTCTTTGAGACAGGGTCTCGCTGTGTCGTCCAGACGGGTCTTGAACTCACTGTACGGCCTGGGCTGACCTGCAACTTGCAGCTGTCCTCCTGCCTCAGCCTCCTGAGTGCTGGGATGACTGGCTAGCTATGGCCTCTGAGCCCCCTCTCTGCCTGCACCCCCGCCCTCAGCACTCTCACCCCACGGCACAGGGACACCTCACGCCCCGCCGCACAAAGGGCCCCAGCCATGCCGGCCGCTTCCCTCCTGCTCACCTCATGATCTCCTTCCTGGTGAAGAACGTGCAGTCCTGGGGACGGAGGTGCGCCCTTAGCCCTGGCCTCACCCCTGGCCGAGGCCCCCATCCCCTCTGCCACCCCACCCCACCCCACTCCACACACGGGCAGCCTGACGGGAGCCTGCACTGAGGCGCAGCCAGAGCAAGGGACGCAGTCCCCACTTCCTGCCGCCGCGCCCACCTGGTACTCCTCGAGCTGCTCGTGCGTGAAGACCGTCTGCTTGCTGCCCATGGCAAGGCCCTCTGTCTCCTGGGCGCTGGGGCTGGCTGGCTGCACACCAGTGTGTGGGCAAACGTCCCTGCCCGGCCCTCACCCCCAGGCGGGCAGACTCAGGTTACAGCCAAGCCCTTGGGTGGCCGTGTGACCGCCTCTGGGGGCAAGGAAAGGGGCCGGAGAGCTTACGGCAGGGTCTCCGTGGTGGGCGGGGTGTGGGCCCGCTGGGACACCGGAGGGCTAGCGGGCAGGCGGGGCTGCCCCAGCTCTGCCCCAGCCTCTCTGAGCCCTGCTCTTGGGATGCCAGCTCCACCTGCTGTCCTTTGTGGAGTCCCTGGAGGAGCTGAGGAGACAGTGGACCCCTGGCCAGGAGCCAGGCCAGGCCCAGGGAGGGTGACCAGGTCCCGACGGTGTGATGGTTATTGCCATCTGCTGTGATGGGACTTGAGAAAGTGACCAAGGCCCCAGCTGCAGGAATCCTGGGTTCAGGAACACCAGCTGGCATCCTCAGCTCAGGGTGGGCACCCAGCTTTGTCCTCAGAGTGCAACAGGGCGCTGTCCCTGCAGCCTTTTAAGGCCCAGGATGCTTTGAGAGACTCGCAGGGGCTGGGTCTCAGTCCACACCCGCCTCACGGGGTCATACCGTCTTGCCACTTCCCTCTCCAGCTCAGCTTTCTGGGGCTCCCCACCCCCTGCTCCGGCCCCTTCTTCACCCTGCAGGCCCTGGCCTGGGCCTTGCCAACCCTCCCCCCAGGCGGCCCGACTGCAGCCTCGCCGGCCAAATCGGCCCAGGTCTGTGCAGCTGGCTTGTGCACTGTCACTCTGATGAGGCTCCAAAGACTCCCTGAGGATGACATGTTAACACCGGCGACTCCCAGGAGGAGGAAGAAGAGGAGCAGGAGGAGGAGCAGCAGCAGCAGTGCTGCCACATGTCTGTCATCCCAGCACTCAGGAGGCTGAGGCAGGAGGCATGAGTTCAAAGCCAGCCTGGGCTACATAGTGAGTTCTAGGGCCGGCTTGAACTACATAAGGAGACTCTGTCTCAAAAAACCAACCAAGCAAACAAAAAAACCCCCAAAGCTAATGATACCAAGGGTGGGTGACATGCAATGGCTGGAACTCTCAGGCTTCACGGTGGTGCAGCCCCTCCTAGGATGGGCCAGCAGGGTTGCTGTCTTTGTTTTTATTTTGTGGTAGCAGGGATCGAAACTCAGGATCCTGTGCTTGCCAGGCAGGCGCTGCGCCACTGAGCTAAATCCCCGGCCCAAGGGTTCCTGTTTTAACAGTCAAAACTACACCTCCTTCTTGACTCAGCAGTCACACTCCTGGGTATTTACCCGATGCGTAGAACAACCTCCGTCCAAGCCCGGAATGGTGGTGCACAGCTATGATCCCAGCACCTTAGGAGGCTGAAGCAGGAGGATCAAAAGTTCAAGACTACCGTGGGCAACTTAGTGAGACGCTGTCTCAAATGTTTAGAAAGGGCCGGGAACATTAGCTCAGTGTGAAGGTCCTGTGTTCACTTTCCTGCACCCCACACACCTGTGTTCAACCGAGAGCGAGTCCTGGGGTAAACGATAGCCTGTGTTTGCTAATTACATATCCACGTAGACTCATCCGTTACTCATTAGTAGGTGGAGACTTCTTGCATAATGGAGCCACTGCAGCTGTGGGAGCAGCAAGTACCTGGGAAACCTGTGCCCCCTCTGCTCAATTTTGCTGTAAACTTAAAACGACTCATTTAAATATCCTAGTGAAATATTTACAACTGTCGTGGTGGATTAATTAATGGTCAGCTTGAGTGGGAAGGCCCAGCTGAACTGAGTCAATGTGGTCCTGGGCCTGGAAGACCCCCCTGAGGCTTGTTGCCAATGGCATAAAAGGAGAAGCAGCTGGTTTTCCTGATGCCAGCTCAGGTCCTCGCTGTCACTGAGGATGGCTGCTGGTTTGGGCAGGGGAGCTCTGGTCTTCGCCTTGGTCTTGAGCATCGCCTCCTGGGTCCAGTGACGCTCCCTCAGCCTGTGGCACAATCCTTCACCCTGCCAGTGCAGGCTTTCTGGCCTCCTCCACTGGGCTTTGGCCGGTGCGGATCCTCCACGCAGACTTGCATGAGACACTGCTGTGGGCTCTAGGCCTCTGAGTGGACTCATGCGGGACATTGCCATGAGATCCAGGCCCTCGGCGGTTCCAGTCTCTAGCACACAGACAGACAGATGTCTTTGCACTCTTCTACATCTGACTCTAGTAAGCATCAACTAGTACAACTGTGTTCACACAGAAACTCATCCATCCCTACAGAATGGAAAAGCTATCTGCAAATCATGGATCTGATAAGGGACTAGTACGCATAATACATAATGAACTCTTACAACTCAACAGTACAAAGGCAAATAACCCAAGAAGAAACATTAGGCTGAGCAAAACAATCTCAGCATGTTGGGTTCTCTTTTTTTGGTACCGGGGATCGAACTCAGGTCCATTGTGCTTGCGAGGCAGGTGGCAGAACCACTAAGCTAAATCCCTGGCCCATCTCAGCACATTGTATGATTCCATTTATATGAAACGTCCAGAATCCACTTTCTGTTCTGGCAAGCGGGGGAATTAATGAAGGGGGAGGGGAGCGAGACAAGTTCCACATCTTGACTGCAGTGTTGTTGGCTGTGTTAAAAAATGTTTGGAGATATTGAGTTCAGCAGAGTTTCAGCAAAGAAGGACGCACGAATCATGCAGCCCTTAGAACCAAACAAGTTCTCAGAGATCCTCCCAGCAAAGCAGGCACAGTGTTGATACAAAAGGGAGGTGAGAAGAGGGAAGCAGCTGATGGGCTACAGCTGGGCCTTTGTCTACCTGGCCCATGGGATGGTCAGTTGGCTGCTATGATTGGCTGAAGCTTGGCTGCCAGAATTGCCCACACTGGATCTGAAATTTTGATCCACCTGCCTTGGCCTTCCAAGTGGTGGGAATGCAGACGGGCATGCACCACCATGCCCAGCTATTTAACAAGATGTTTTTCTTCATAATTAATTTAAATTTTAACTATACCATATTATTTTTTTTAATGCCATAGGATTTTTAAACGTCCTAATGCATGAGGAATGACACATTCTTAGATTTGTTTAAAAGCTGCATGTGCCTGGAGTGGTGGTATACACTTATAATCCCAGCTACACAGGAGGATCACAAGTTCAAGGTTACCCTGGGCAGTTTAGTGAATCTCTGTCTCAAAATAAAATAGGGCTGAGGCTGCCACCTAGTGGTGAGTGCTTGCCTAGCATCTGCAAGGTCCTGGGTCCTCGGCCCTGCAAAAAGATGCAAGCAACTGGACGTGGTGGCACATACCCGTAATCCCAGCACTCAAGAGGCTGAGGCAGGAGGATGGCTGCAACTTTGAGGACATCCTGGGCTGCATCGTGAGTTCAGGTCCAGCAGGAACCACAGGCCTGAACAACTCTGTCTGAAAACAACACTTCTCATCCCACTTACTTATTTTGCCATACTGGCTTTTGAGCCCAGGATCCCCATGTTCTAGGCAAGCACTCAACCACTAAGCTACACTGACAGCCCTTTTTTTTTATTTTGAGACAAGGTCTGGGGAAGTTGTGATCCTCCTGCCTCAGCCTCCCAAAATGCTGGGATTACAGGCCTGTTCCCCTGTGCCTGGCATCACCCTTTTCTTATAATCAGACTGGATTTATGATTTATCTGGGAGACTCTTCTGAGGGGAGGCCTGAGACCAACCGCAAAGGCCAGTGAGGGCAACCAGGCAGACTTTACTCAGCTGGACAGAGGTGGACTGACAGCAGGCAAGAGGCCACCAGCCTGAACAAAGAAAGGCAGGAAGCTCTACAGGACACTGGAAGAGAGGTCTGGCACACCTGTCACGTGCAGGGGCAGAGCAAATATTTGTGATCGGGGTCCATGCAGCCATCGAGGCAGATGTGTGGATATTTTCCGGTGACTTGGCATTGAGAAGATGCTGTGCTTTGTAGTTGTTATCTCTGTGTTGGGAACATCCCATCCTGTGTTCTGCGTTCTATCTGCTCTGAGATAGCTCGGCTTAGGTCCAGCAGGGACGACAGCAGCATCGGCTGCCTGTTTTGTTGTGGGTGTTTTCTATCCTGTCAAACTGTAGCTTGTAATTAAACAGCACATTCATTAACCATTTCATGACCGGGTCAAGCCTGAAATCCCGTCTTTCTGTTATAATAGAAAAAGAAAAAGAGAGCTGGGTGGGATGGGGGGACTTCACACATGGCATGGGGGCTTCGAGAACAACCTATTGGGGAGCAAAATTGGGGGCCATCTCATTATAGCAGGGAGCAGTAATTGCTTGTATGTGATCCTGTAAGGGTTGGGACAGGAGCCTAAGGAGGCAAGGGCCAGAGAGGAGGAGGAACGTGGGGCAGGGAGAAAGCTAAGTGCCCGAGAGACATACAGTCGTGTGGATCTGGTGTAAAGAGAAGAGGTGACACAGGGTTGAAATGGGAGCCCAGGGCAAGGGTTACGGTGGGGATGCGCATAGAAGGTGGGGGAGACGGGAGAAGACTCGCGTCTCTGTATGTTGTGGGAGGAATGAAGCATGAGCAGTGGGTGCCGGCTGCTTTTAAAAGCGTGTGTGAGCTCCAGAGCCGCCACGGCAGCTGCCCTTAAACAGTGGCCGTCCTGGAACAGTGGAAGCCAGCCGTTTGGTTAGGAAAGCGGCCAGTCGGGGGCCAGGCCGAGGCGGGCCTGCAGCTGAGAATCCCCCACACCCAGCAGAATGCAGACAGAAGGGCTGGGAAAGGTCTGGCAGGGCGAGGCACAGGCCATTTTGAGAGCTTCTTTCAGTATTTTTTTTTTTTTTTGGTACCAGGGATCGAACTGGGGAACTTGCACTTGCGAGGCAGGTGCCAGAACCACTGAGCTAAATCCCTGGCCCTCCTGCAGTATTTTTAAGGAGTGGGGGAAGTCTTTATGATCTATGGGTTCGGTTAGGTCTCCCTTAGTAAGTGTATATAAGGGTCTTGTAAGGAGGGCAAAGCCGGGTACCCAGAGACGAAAACGCCTCACCACTCTGAGAAAGGAAAGGAGTTGCCACCTGTAGAGGAGACTGGAATCTGAGAGATGAGCTGGACACGATCAGCCCTAAGAGACGGACGGGCGAGAGTGCCAGTTAATGGAGAAGTCATGAGGCCTGCTCCTACACATTGGTCTAAGAATTACACAGGTGCTACGTGTTGAGGTCTTCTTGTTAGTCTCCTGGCCCTGTCTTGTACTATGCCTGACTGGCTGCTATAAAAGTAACATTTTTCTCCCACCTTTTTGGCTCCTAGGAGGTTTGAGCTTCTATGATTTTGGAGTGTTACTGAGCCAGGGAGTTTCCTAGTTCTGTAAGGTGAGAATGAAGTCAGGGTTTTTTTGTTGTTTTTTTTGAGACTGTCAGAAAGATCTCGGGAGAGGGAACAATAGTAGGTCAGGGAGGTAATAGGTCCCTGTGTCCTTGGGGTTGGACTTTAATGGTGACAGGCAGGCTGGGGGAGGAGGGGGAATAGAGGGAGGTTTTCTACGGCGAGCAGAGATTGGTAATGAGAGAGGCAAGGTCGACAGCGGACGTCTCCAGCTGGGACTCAGGGCCATAATGACTGTGGGTGAGTGGCCAAGGCAGACCTCTCCGAAGTCAGCCAGACACCAGGGGAGGACAGTGCTTCCTGGGGAGTGTTCCGAGACCAGTGCTGGCTTTAAATGGCATGGAAAGCAGAATTAGCCTCTCTCAGGGGGTGAGGGGACAGAGGAGGAGAAACACCTAGAAACACAGGATGTTAGGGTTAGGCCGAGGGAAGCAGGGGAGATTACTGGTGATTTTTACGAGGAGTTAGGCCAGTTATCAACAGGACCCAGCTTTACCCTGGAGTGATGTACCCACTGGGGAGGTCTCTAGAGTTTGACAGCCATCAGGTTAGGCTATCTTTGTAAGGCTGGGTCTCAGAAGAGGTGGTCAGATTTGGGGGGGTTGTTGTAGACCCGGGAAAGTCTCTGATGGGACTGGCCTCTGGGCCGAGGTTTGGCCCCATCAGAAAGGTGTGGCCATATAAAAGCTTAAACAGGCTGTATCTTGTAGATTTTGGGGGGTGGCTCAGGTGTGAAGGACAGCAGTTGGGAGCCGGGAAACCCAGTCTTTACAGAGCTGGAGCGTGAGCTTAGTGAGGTGGGCCTCAGGAGGCCCTTAGCCTTTGTACACTTCCGATGACTGAGGCGGGTAGGGAGTGTGGAGGTTGCACTAGAGCAATGAAAGCTGGCCACTGTCTGAATGGAGGTGAGCCGGGGATGATGTCAGCTAGGAGGGAGTTGACAATGGCGGAGGCTTTTTCTGAGCCTGTAGGAAAAGGCCTCTGCCCGTCCAGTAAAGGTATCACCCAGACCAGGAGGTACCTTAGCTTTTGTATTTTGTTGGATGTGGGTGAAATTGATGTTAATCCTGAGTTGGAGAAAAACCTGGGGCTCCATGTGTAGGGAAAGGATCAGACGCCAAAGGGAAGCGGTCTTCCCAACAGAGCTCTTCATGACCAGCGCTGGAGTTTAACAACATGAAGCAGCAGGGGGAGGCCCCCACTGTGTCAGCAGGAAGTTACGGGCAGATGGAGGCAGAGAAGGGGGGTGGGGGGAGCTTGGAAGGGCCAGGAAAGCAGCAGGAGGGAGAGCCTGGGGAAGAGGCTGGCTTCCGTGACCCACAGGCCCGGCGAGGGGAGACCTGGCATAGCGGGAGCAGAAGGCTCCAGGTCTGAGGGCCAGCATCACCTCAGCCGGGCAGAGGCCCAGGAAAGGGTCAGAGACCCCTGAACAGGGCTTCGGGGCACCGGACATAACAACTGGCACGGAAGGATGAGGCCAGCCGAGCAGGGTGTGACAGTAAAAAGGTAGTCTGACGCAAGCAAGAGGCACCAGGCCTGAACACAGGCAAGGCAGGGAGCGTCACGGGGCACTGGAAGGTCGGTCACATCAGGCACAGGTGGGCCACAGCAAATGTGTGTGGACAGTCAGGTGACAGCATTGAGGAGATGCTGTGCTTTGTAGTTATTGCTGTGTGGAGAACAGCCCGTCCTGCTTCTGTCAGGCGGAGACAGCACCCGCATCAGCTGCCTGTTTTGTTGTGGTTTTTCTGTATCTTGTCAAACTGTAACTTAGAATTAAAGAGCACATTCACTCATCATTTCATGACCAGCTCAAGCCTGACAGGGGTGTCCTCCTCCCATCAGACCTGGGGCGCCCCTGTGGCTTCAGGACGTCATGGACTATGCTAACTTCGATGGCCTAGATCGGGTGCCATTTGCCATGTTTCTCCACAGTCAATTGACTCTTCCAACTTTCTATGCTCTCTTCTCTGGAAACAGTGGGGATTCTTTTAAAGAAAGTCTCTTAGCTGAGCACAGCAGCATATATTTGTACTCCCAGCCTCTCAGGAGGCTGAGGCAGGAGGGTTTCTTGAGACTAGGAGCTTGTGAACAGCCTGGGCAACATAGTGAGACCTCTGCCCCCCACCCCCCCAGAGAGTTATTTGGAAGCGTGTCCTCTGAATATCAAGTTTAGGAGACCTCAGCTGACACTGTTTTCACTGGCTGCATACTGCATACGCAGAAGCAATGGGTAATAATGAAAGTCTATGTACTGCATTTAACTCTTATGATGCAGTGCATGCAGAAGAAATAAGAATTAAGTGAGCAAAATGCACTACATAGCCAAACATGGCAGCATACACCTGTAGCACTCTGGGAGGCTGAGGCAGGAGGATCGAAAGTTGGAGACCAGCCTGGGCAACTCAGTGACTCAAGAGTCCAAATTCTGTTAGTTACTTTACTCTCACTGCTGAGAAAAAATACCCAACACTCACAAGTTAAGGGAGGAAAGATTTATTTAGCTCACAGTCTGTACAGGTTTCAGTCCATAATCGGCGGGCCCCAAGACAGGGTGGCGTGGAAAACAGGGTTTACAGAGGAGAAACAGTTCATGGCACACACGGCA